ACTGTAATTTATATTATATATAACATTAAATAATACATATTATACATATAATTTATTATATATTTATAATATTATACTTTATATTGTATTATATGTATTATATACATACTACAGTAATGTCACTGACCTCCGCCGCGCGACCTTGGCGGGATCACTGACCTCGGCTGCGCGGCCTTGACGGGGTCATTGACCTCGGCCGCGCGGCCTTGGCGGGGCACTGACCTCGGCTGCGCGGCCTTGGTGGGGTGGGGTCACTGACATCGGCCGCGCGACCTGGGCGGGGTCACTGACCTCGGTCACGTTATTACGGTATATATATATGTGTGTGTGTGTATGTATGTGTATTATATATAGATATAGAATATTATCTATAATATATGTATATTATATATAATATATGTATATGTATAATATTTTCTTTCTTACTCTTTTCTTTGTCACGTGACTTTAGTCACGTGTTGTTTTTCCATTCTTCTCTCTTTTTTTTATTTTTTGAGTTTGATTTTCATGCGTTATTTTTGACATCTCTCGTAGGTGTATTACATAGTTTATAAGATGTATATATTAGCTGTCATCGCGGTGACAGGTTGTGTTCTCTGATGTAACATGTGAAAATGAAAATAATAATAGAGTGCGCGTAGAGCGCGCTTGTGTTGTGCTAGTCTCGTAAAAAGGTAAAACACGATTTGTGTTTTGGATGACAACCGTGACGACGAGACATCATCATATTCCGATCGCGGGAACATTTTGTTTCTTGGAACAAGCAAACTCAGCCCTGGCGGGCGTTTATTTAACTTGAATATACGGAGGAAAAGTTGCATTATACGTAAATGTAGCTCGAAAGCGTTCGGGAACGGATTATAGAAGCTCGCGCGCGTACGTTGCTTCTTAATCCGAGGATTTTGAGTGAAATATTTGGTAGATGCTATCGGCCAGTGACGCGACCGTTTGCTCCAGCGTACATTTAATCCTGGAACGAGCATGGTCTCGAATCGATTCGAAATCTAGGTCGAATTCGGCTTAGTGGAATTGATATCTCCGGTTTCTCGGTTTGCGAACAATGTATACGTCGTCGAAGAGTAGAGAGAGGAGAGAAAGAGAGAGAGAGAGACAGAGAGACAGAGAGATAGAGACAGAGACAGAGACAGAGACAGAGACAGAGACAGAGACAGAAGGGAGTTGGTTTAGACTGGCTTCGCGAATCAGGTTGTTCCAATGTGTTCCGCTCGTTTCTCTCGTCGACAAGACAAAAGATAAAATTTTATCCGTGGCGCTTACCAACTAACAAATCAAATAATCGTTTCAACATCAAGTTTAATTCACGGGTAAAACCAGATCGGAACCTCCCATTCTTCTCGCCTCTCTTTCCCCAGTCCCTAAAACGCCACTACATGTAAAGAGACAGAAATAAAAAAATTGATTTCTGAGAAATAGATACAATTACATACACAGGGTGTCCCATTTAAGTTGACACAAAGCATACAAATTAACAACTTTCGTCTTGATTCACTATAAAAAAAATCATTTCAATTTTTGGGAATATTTAACAGTTGCAGAAAAAATTGAAATGCTTTTTTTATGAATCAAGACAAAACATAAAAAAGCTGTTAATTTGTATGCTTTGTAGTACCCCAAAAGAAATTATCCATTACGTCGTACAATTTATCGTTAGACAATTTATACTGTTTCTCTTAATATCTTGAAAAACAGAAGTTCTACAAAAAACGTTTCAAATAAAAGTTATACGTTGTTTTATGTAGATTAAGACTTGAAAATAAAAAAATGTGGATTTACGATATAAAAAAAGTTGACCTTAAAATGACCTTGAAAACGCCCACGTATAAAAAACTAATAGTGCCATTTGAATCTTCACTCAAAATATTGAAAGACGTATGTTGCTTTTTTTTTAAATCACAAGTGTCTACGAGATTTTTTGCTGTGTCAACTTAAACGGAACATCCTGTATATGTATGTGTGTACGTATGTGTGCGTTTGTGCGCATATTAAAACTTGACAAAGAAATGTTACTTACTGATAAAAAAACAAAGTTATTTGCCAATAAAATTACAGTAAGCCAACCATGTATGTGCGTGCACGTGTGTGCGCGCGCGCGCTCTGCAAAACACATTATAGCAAAATATAACGCGCATTTCTCTCTTCTATGAATATCGTTCTCGAAAAAAAAGAAATCAAAATAATTAACAGTTTTAATTATATTCTTTCTTGTTGCTCGTTAAATCCACGCAATGCGTCGCAAAACATGAAGATTTAATCGCCACTTGAGCGCGCGCACTGAAATGCGCCGTGCGGTTATATTCGCGTAATTTCTCATCAGTACGCAGACTTGTTAAGAATTAAACGGATGAAAGACAATATAAGTTAGCAGGACTAAATTAATTGCGCTCGACCGCGCACGTTTCATTAAACCGACGCGCGTGGTCAACTGTGCACTTTGCGATGTATGTGTGACGTCGCGCAACAAAAACCCGAATATATATTCACAACGTGTTTAACGGAAAAGATATATTCCTACGTGTTTTAGGGTGCAGCGTGAAATTTGCGCTCAGTCAACAGGGCCCGGTCTTCACTCTAGAGCCGCCGAACACTCTGGTCTTTTCGAACACCACCGGTTCGCAATTAAGCTGTTCCGCACACGGCAGCCCGACGCCGCACGTTACGTGGATTACTAGCCCAGATCAAAGATCGGTCACGGCCGTGCCTGGACTCAGGTAAATCACGTTTCGTCAATCACACTTGTGCTGAATGTCCGACGGACATGTTATGTTTCATGGTGTGGCATTCATATAAATTCGCCAGCGTGGCCATTACATGATTTTTCGGAATCGATTCCAAAAAATAACAATAACAATAATAATATAATGATAATAATAATAAATCTTATAGATATATACATGTATAATATATACATTTTTTTAACATTGACAATAATTGTACATGCCTTGACCGGTCGGATTATGTCCCGGTCTTGCCTTGATCGGCCGGATCGTGCCTTTATCTTGCCTTGACTGGCCGGATCATGTCTCGATCTTGTCTTATAAATACTTCACGAAAAAGTACTTAATTATAGTGTTTTGGGAAGTTCTCAAGATGATCTACAAGATTGTGCAATAAAAAGTAGAGAGTTTTGTTTAAGAAATTGAAGGTAACTTTCACGTGACTTTCAAGCAACTATTCAAGGTCAAACTAATAACACTATCTTATGACCTCCTCAAAGCCATATAACTTTTGTCTGAAACATTTTTTTTTTAATTAAAAATAAAAAAGTTATTTAGGATAGAACATTAAAATAGGACACTCTGTATATAGTATTAAATTTAAATGGAAATTAGGGCAAATACAAACCAAAATATTAAATTATCTGTATAAATAACGTGGTTTATTGAAATATTACAATCAATCTTTTCGATTTCTATCGGATCAATAAAACCCGCATACTGATCAAACAAAACACGGTTATCGTGTTTAGTGAAGTCGGTTTTTATCGTTGTTAAAGTTTTATTTGACAAGTGTGTTTTTATTATTTATTAAAACATCGCTAAACATTTCAAAGTATGATTTCATGTGCAACTTATTACCTATATAATTTAGATTGTCACTGAAGAACATCCGATATAAGGATTAAAACGTTGTAATATTTAAATAAATCACGTTTTCATACACAGATATCCAGTATTTTGGCTCGCAGTATCGGCTCTATTTTCCATTAATTGATATTTTCACGAGCAGACTTATTAAATTTAAATAAAATCTAACTTTTAAAAGAAAACACAAATAGTAGAAAAAATAGTAAAATAATAATAATAAACAATAAGAAAAACAACATTAGGTATTTAAGCGACATTTCGTCCGTTTTAAGTTAAAATATCCTCGAAACACAATGTGTATGTTAAAGTATCTTAAACTCTCAAGAATGAAAGCTCATAACCGTTTTATTCGTTTCCGTTGTTTATTCTTGCGTGCGAATCAACCCATCCGTTATGCATTTTCTTCCAGGCAACTTCTCGGCAATGGGACACTATACTTCCCGCCGTTCTTGGCGCAGGACTTCAGAGCCGAAGTGCACAACGCTCGGTACAGATGCCGCGCGACCAGTTCTGTGGGAACGGTGCTCTCGCGCGAAGTCACTCTCCGCGCCGGTAAGTTTTATTTATCTCATCATCCCACGTCTTATCTAGTTCCAAAAGTGAAAGCAAAGTCTTGTCTCGACTTGATGCCGGGGAAACTTTTATCCTTCTAATCAAAAAAGATTTGGAAACTGTTTCTCTCTAACTGCGTGCAAATTCAAACTAAAAATATATATCGATAGAGATAATTTCGGAAAAAAGTTAAATATTAGTTAAATATTAATATTTTATATTAATATTTAATATATCCCCATACGGATTTAGAAATTTGTTTTCTTATATGTTTTCTTATATGCCGTATGATGATTGTTTCGCTCGCCAAAGCATCATTTCCGGTAGAGACTCTAACTGTTGTAACCAAATGTACAAAAAAGTTATAACAATTATATTTTCGTAAAATTGGTTTTGGTTACGAATAATCATTAGTAATGACAAAAATTGTGTTTGGTTACGAATAACCATTATCGATGACGGAAAGTGTTTTTGATTACAAATAATCATTACTGATCTCAGAAATTGGTTTTGGTTACGAATAACCATTATCGACTAAATATAGTTTTGTTAATTTAAAAAATAAAAAAACTGAAATCATAACACAATACTAATATAACATACAAACATCTAAAGTAGTTGCGCGTAAATATTTTTTATTCGCAGATTTTTCATTTTTTTTCTGATTTTTTATTTTTTCCGGCATAAAACTAATGCGTAAAGAAAAAAAAATTTAAACGCGAATGATATACAAATAAAAGCAATCAAGTGCAAATTACGAAAAGTTTTAATTTGAATTAAATTCTATATTCAAAAATTCAAACATTTGCGTAATTTGCACTCGAATAATTGTGCACCTACATTTGTTCGGTTTTTACAGTTGCATTATTATACCTTTAGTTGAAGTATTTTATTTATTTTTATTATTAGGAAAATTATAAAACAGGTGATAACAAGCGCGTGATGACTATGTGGGAAGCGTAATCGCGCTCTCGCAATAACGCTTAAGAGTTAATTACTATTTGCAAGTAATTGCGCGACACGCTCATTAATGCAACGCGCGAGTAGAAGATTATCTCGTGTGCCCCTTTGCACCCTCGTCTCTCTACTTTACTTCCCTCTTTATACATATATATACGCGACTACACGTCGTCGGGAGCCAAGGAGAAGCTTCTCCGACAGTGCTTTCCTCTTGAAACGAGCGGGCCAAAAAGGAACCTAGTTCACTTATCTAAAATGACATCGGCCGTCCCCACGTGCTCGCCAAAGGACTTATGCTCCAAGAGAGAGTCATTGTCGAAATCCCCTTTTGTGAGGAGCGCCGTTTCCCGACGAGCTCGGGAATTCGGTACCAACGTCCAGTCTACGTTCTCTTCTTTCCAAAGAAAGAAAGAGAGAAAGAGAGAGAGAGAGAGAGAGAGAGAGAGAGAGAGAAAAGGAAGAAGAACCTAGGGGTCCCAGAGGTGGAATTCAACAGCGAAGGGAATATTCATTATCCTACACTGTTTTATCGTCGCCGAGCTGCGTGGAGAATAATGTCTGAAAAGGCGTGACGTCGTCTTGAAAATTAAAAAAAAAGAGAAATACATATATATATATATCGCACGCGGAGCTTAACTTTCAGCGGCAAAATAATCGTTGTCGCCCGAGAACGACTATGCTTAATCTTAATATTTTTCAAGTGATTTTATTACACGGCCGTTTGATATACGTCGGATCTTCTTCTTTTCTTTTTTTTTTTATCTCTTGCAATTGCGCGGTTTTCTCGGTAGCGAAAAATCACACGAGGAATGTAACAAATGTGTATGTTTAACGAGAAAACACACACACATGTATATATTTATATACATATATATATGTATATATATATATATATATATATATATATAAAGCCTCAGTAAATTTAATTCCTGAAAAAACAAAGAAATAAATATTTTTATCTTTATACAACAAATGAAAATGGCGCACTTTATTCGAAAAACTGAAAAACTGTGTGTGTGTCAAACTAATATAACTAATTTTCTATCGCGCGATAAAATGAACTGAAATACGCATGAGAAAGAGTGACAAAATTTGCCCCTTTCATCGACTTCATAGATTTTGTTTAATTGTAGTCTAAATGTTAGCTTATGATGATACAATAACGTATGTAAAATTCCAAGATGAACATAGAAACGATTTCGGATTTATAGAATATCAAAGTTGTGATTAATTGAAGCTGTAATTCTACACAACGTAGATTAGGTTTAATTATATTATTGCAATATGCTACAATAATATGTAAGAGCTTCTTCACCGACGTCAAGGTACTAATCCATGAAGTTTTTTTTTGTTTAATATTTTTTGAATATTAAAAAAGTTTTTTAAGTTTTTCTTTTATTTTATACATTTTTTTTAAGAAACAAAAAATCAGTAATAAATACATCATATGAAATACAGATTTTTGCTCTTTAAATGACGCACGTGCGTATGTACATATGCACGTACAACGATTAAACACTGCAGGTCGTACACGCTGTATCTTACGTTCTAATCCCTCGGAATGTGTATGCCGGATATTTATTATTTTTTTTAGTCACATATGCTACGCGAGTGACAAAAACCGTATTTCTCCATATACAAGAGGAACTGTGGACGTTATACGTGAGAAAGAATTATTGCCTACCACACTGATGAGAGATCACTTGTTTTCACAGATGGACGATACTCCAGTGTACGTCGTTTTTATTCTTCTTTATTTTCTCCATTTTATCAACGGAAGAGAAGATGAGAAGAGACAGAGGGTATGACTAGAAAAAAAAACGTAACCACATTAGCAACCAGCCACCGGTTTTCTCGAGAAATAGTTTCGGACAAAAAAAGAGTTCTTTCTGACGACGACAAACGCTCGTACGTGTGCAATTTCGGGTAAAGCGGTTCGCAGTTTTAATCACGCGCACGGTGTGTGAATCTTTGTTTTTCTCGGAGGAAGAAAAACATGCGCGAGAGATATTTCCGTGTAAGACGACGATAGGACACGAAAGTTTGCGGTAACAGGAAAAAAACGCAATTAAAGAAGTAGCAATATTTCTTTTTAGAGGAAGTTTTTCTTTATTTTTTTATATATTATCTCTTTATTTTTCATATATTATTTTTTATATATGTGATTTATTATACATATCACATATATTATAAAGATCATTCTTCTGAGTAAAAAGCTCTTGCTCATTGTGTATTTAAAAAGTTGTTAACAAAATCTTTTAGTAAATTTCCTTTTAGGATTAGAGTTAAGGTGAGAAAGGCAGGTGAGACTTATGTGAGTCTCTAAGGTCACTTAGATTAGATTGATCCTCTGCGACTCCTCGCCGGTTTATTGTCAGTAAAACTGTTTCAGCTCGGCGTTTTCTGCCAGGCTACGAGTGATTTTCTTGTTATTCAGCTGATTTTGTTATTCAAGTCTTTGGGCTCCGGAAACATGGAACCCAGAAACTCGTATCTCTCTGCTCGATCTTGCAACTCTGCTTGGGGTACCTAATTTACTTGAAAAAAGAAAGCTCACTTCTTCGCCTGTCTACAATGTAGTGAGCTTGAGTATGTGATTTACTTGACAACAAAAGTCTCACCCTAACGAGATTATCTGCTTTTCTCTGGTTTCCAGAATTTTCTGATGATTAAACGCAATTTAAAGAAGATCGATCTGGGAAACCCCCTATTTTGACATCAGATTTGGATTCTGCACCTCAAAATACGTAAGAAAACATGCTTCTCATTTCGAGTTCAAACCATTTTTTTTTTTGGGCCTGTGTAATCAACGTTAAAAACTCTATTAGAAATCATTGATGGTATTTTCGAATTTTCTGAAAAAAGGTCATATTTTGTCGACCAGTATAATTAGAGAGATCTCTCCTAAAAAGAATACTTAGTCTTCTTCAAAGAATTTTTTTTGGAATATCTGAGGAGATAATTGTGCAACAGAGTAACATAAATGTTTTGTGAAAAACGCAGCTATTTTAAAGATGAAAGCGATTTATCGAATTTCTCGCTTCTCTGTATATTTGTGCTTACGGTTCTGATAGATTCTTGGGCGACTCGCCGTAAGTGGCAATATGCTCGGTGTCCCAGCAGAGAAATCCATCTCCAGAAAATTCGATTTTAAAAACCTCTCTCTCTCTCTCTCTGTACGAGACACCATATATATACACGAGGCGATAAGTTTCGGTTCAAAAATTCGCAGTAGCGATGCGTCAATACGCCATGCTCGTGTATTTTCACGCTGCATCAACGCGTGATAGGCAGCGGGGACATGTGTGAGGAATCCGGCATAAGCAATAACGTAAAGGGGCGAAAAATGAAAGATTCGCGAAAACGAATCCACTTTGAGAGAGAGAGAGAGAGAGAGAGAGAGAGAGAGAGAGAGGGGGGGAAGAGAGAAGGAAAGTTAATTTTAACGATTTCTAGGAAATATCGTTGCTTGCTTCGCTGGAGATCCTGCGCTCATATTAGCTTTATTTGCACATTTCGTTTCACCTCCGTTTCGCTCGTTCGCTTCTTCATGCCTTCCACTCACCAGGACGCATCTCAATTTTATCGTCACGTACGCACGGCCCCTCTTTCCTCTGATTCACAACCAACTTCTGACGGCAAAGGATAGAAGAGAAGAATGCGGCGGGACATCACCGGAGCAGCTCCCAATTTCCGATGTTCCGGATGACGGCAAGAAGAATAGATGGATAACGCGCGACTCGACTCGTACGTTTCGTCATCGCGCGAGACCGTTCTTCTTTTGACTACTACTACTACTTTAACTACTTTGTGTTTCGTCTTCTCAAATGCGCAATACCGCACATTTCTTGGCTCTGGCTTGCCCGAGCTTTTTAACTCTTGGCGTAAAACGTTCTGCTATTTTATCCTCTCTTGTTTTCACTTACGAGAAAATTGTGCATGTTATTTTGGCACAAATGTTTACGGATGAATCTACGATCTTTTGTCGGCGTTTAAGAAATTTTAACCTTGGAATGAAGTGAATGTGTGTAACTCTATACAATATTTTGCCTCGTGTAAAAAGATGATAAAAACATTAGAGAAACTAGAAATTATCCTTGAGCTTTCTTCTCAGAAAGTTTGTATTTCTCTATTTACACAAGTTTAATTTGTATTGAACATTAAAATATGTTAAAAAAGGTAGGTATTCAAGATTAATTATCGAGAAAAGTACACAGTAAAAAATCGTGCATTTATATGTTAAACTTTTCTTGTGTTATCTTGTTTTTTGATTGTTACTTAGCGATAATTTTTGAGTTTTGACCTTGAAAATGACCTTGTCGGTGATTTTTACTATTATATTCGTAATCAGCGCACCAAAATACAGTAGTATATCAATCGACAGAAAAATCGGGTGTTTCAAGTTTTCGGAACTTTATCCGTTCTTCAATAAGTAACACATAACGAATGAGTTTAATTAAAAATTTAGAGCGAACCTTTTGGAGGACATGTAAAACCTGTCTACAAAATTAACTTTTTTCTCTTTTACTGTGTATATTTTGTACATATTATATTTTAATATATGAAGATATGAAATATAGTGTGTGTTTTAATTAAAAGATGGTTACTTTTGATTAGAGATTGAAAGAGAAAGAGAGAAGGAAGGGTGACGAAATTCCCATTCACTCTTTAAAATTGATCGCACACAATAAAGGTGGTTTACACGATCTTGAGCTAACCGGGGCAATGTAGTGTAATAGCATTTTGAGTTAGCATATTCACTTAGCTATTACATGGTTAATATAACTGAGGATGCAAATGTAGGAAATTAATCGCACACTTTGCCAACATTTATTACAGCGAAACGTGGTGTGTGTATATATACATGCGAAGGCGGGGATGTGTCCTCGAGAGACTACGAGGATATATGCGACGTAAGCGTTGTTTCCGAGCAATCTCCGTTATATATTGATGCGCGAGTGTGTACTTAGATTGTGAGTGATTAGGTTTAGCGAGAGAGAGAGAGAGAGCTCATCTCTCAGTGCCTTGACATCTTGCGCTTTAACCGCGTTGTTGCAAAGAGTCGAGAGTAACTGTACAAATGGATAATTCTCGTTGAAATTGTTTTTTTTTTCTATCGGGATTTAATTGAAAACAATCTGATGAAAAAATTCGCGATATTGATTAATTATGAGCCGCACGCGCGGCGCTTACACGATACTATTTCTCACTCTCTCACATTTGTGAGTAAAGTTAACACGTCGTGGCAAAGTAAATCGCGAAGTAAATCGCATTACAAAAGCCATTGTCCGTAAACTCGAAATAAGTTCGATCGTCCATTATGCATGTTTTTACTCTTGCTTATGTCTTATTTTCCACTTCTTACATCCACTCGTACTGGTAACTTCTTAATAATCATCTATCTTCCGCGCTTTCAACGCACTGCGTCACTTCGCATACTCTCTCATATTCTCGAAGTTTTCTCTTTATCTTTTTTTCTGACTTTCCGTTACAAATATAACCGAGTTTTCTTATACAAGATATCCCGTTTTTTTTTTTTTTAATCCTCTTTTTGCACACATTAAATTAATTAATACAGTCAATTTTCTGTGATTCGAAAAATTTGCTGCGTAAATATTTGATAAATAGATTTTAAACGCATTTCGACTGTAAATCTGCATTTTTTCTCGCGGTAAATCAATTAAATTGCGAGTTAATTCGTAGAATAAAAAAATATCTTTATCATACGCAATTGGTTTATATAATTCCGTCATTTATTTCCGTCATATTATTATTTAACTAAATATGACTAAAAGATTAATTTAATTGTCAAACGTAATAATCTTGTTGGGAAATAATACGATTATTGCCGAGTTCTTGCAATGATTAGAAATTAAGCGTATTATTACAGCTTGATTGTATGCTCACAGTATTGACGGTGTCTGGATACGACGTCAGGGTAAACAGACAGCCCGTTCTAGAAGGGTGCAACGCGGTGTTGTCCTGCACAGCCCGAGAAGACGTCAAGGAACATCTCACCGTAACTTCCTGGTTTCGCGACGATGCTATTCTCCTACCTGGAAATACAGACACTGGTGAGTTAATATATATATATTATATAACTGCGCGCGCACGTATAGTTAAACATAACGTCTACTGTTCTAATTTAAAACAACCCACGCCGCGCGTGTTGATATCATGGTGAACAAAAAGTTCTTCAGTCACTACTATCAATTTGAATAATCGACAATAACGCACATCCATGATAGTACACCATTGCGTATTGTTAATTTTCCATTTTGAATACAATTGTTACGCGAAACACACTCTCGCTAATTCCGTATTCGGTCGTACATATCGATTTATCGAGTTTTTTTTATCAATGTGACACGAGCAAATATATACCTATTATTGCTATGCGTATATTGAAATTAATTTGCAAGCATGTCTATCGGCGCATCCAATTCGACTACTTAAAAACTGAGTAGTTAAAAACCAAAATCTTATATATAGTAATAATATATAGAACGCATTTTTTAAATGACATTTTTTTTGTAATCGATTTTTATTATACTATATATATTTTATATGTATAGTTTTTATTTTTCATATTTTTCTTGTTAATAATTTTTGTATTTAATAATTTATATTATTATTTTATTTTTTTGTTTATGCAATTATCTAAACGTCTTTCTTCTAAAAGTTTGTTTTTGTATATTGCAATATAGCTTACAGCATGTTGTTAAATTAAAAATGTGCTTATTCATTTCATTAACATTAATATATATATGTATATATAATTTATTTATTGAATTGTATACATATATAGTAAATGTTCAGTATAGAGGAGGATGCTCCGCGCGATAATCTTGATCTTGACATATGTTGTCAAGGACATGTCCCTGAGTAACAATGCAAAGATTTTAGCCGCTCATTGTCGTTCATTGTTTATTAAAAAGTTATAAACAAAACAAATTTCTTTGAGAAATTTTCGTTTTGCGACATCTTAAGACTACTTTTTTTGTTATTTTTGTTCGTATTGCAAGCGTGTAGGCAAGGGAGGCTACGCTTCCCCGCAGGGAGAGTAGCTTCGTCCCTCTTCCTGCTTCCCCCAAGAAAAAAACCTAATTTCGGTAAGGTTTTTCCTAACATTAAGTTGAGTTAGATCTAGTCAGGAGGTGCAGGGGGAGGGGCGAAGCTACTTTTTGTCAAGTTATCACGTCAGTCAATGATATTCATTTCTTATAAATCATGGCGAATTTTTTGCAAGATCTGAAGTCTCGGCCCAGAAGAGATTAACACTATTATGACCTCTCCGCCAGCATGCAAAGTGAGCGGCATACAAAAAAGAGTGTAAAATGCTTGCGAACGAGTATTCGGCACGTGCGCGCGCACGCGTGAACTAATTCGTTTGTCCGCGCTCAGGCACGCACGCACACATATATGCAATCAGGCCGCGTGCGCACGTACGTGTGCTAACTCGCTGGTTTAGATCGTACACGCTCAGGCATTCATGTCCCATACATATTTATGCCGCTTGGTTGCACGTAACCGGTATGTGTGTATGTGTGTGTATGTTGCGGCGCACAACTGTAGATACATGTGTGCCGTCGGAATATCATGGGAAGCATCGCGTCATGTCAGGGCTTGATACGTTTGTTTCGTAACTAGGCGGCTAACATTGCGCGCCGCAACATATATATGAAAGCGGCACCTGCACACATCGAGTGCCGCTTACGACTTGTCCGTTTCTCTCTCTCTCTCGTTCTTCCCATCCTGTGACGTGTGCCATATATGTAGATATCCTTTCGCTGTGTCGGTTATCGCCAATACGCGTCCGGCAACACGCACACGCTTTGCCGTGAGAACGGTCGTCATCCGTATCGCGATCAAAGATGACGACGACTTTGTCATCCGGCGTCACGCCAATATCGCGGCGAAAATGAAAAGAATGAAGCGCACCGAGCGCGATACACGATACGTTTGCACGAGTTTGCACTAGTAAAACTGGATATACAATTTGCGCGCGACCAAGGTTGCCAGACGTCCGGCTTTAGCCGAACATGTTTGGCTTTTTACAGTTTAGTCCGGCTAAAAATAAGCATGTCCGGCCTGTCCGGATTTTGTTAGGCTTTTTGTCTGACAAATTTGCACGTAGTATTATAATAAAAATATAGCACATATTTGTATGAAACTTAAACGTGAAGCAAACGCGCAATCCGCTCGCACCCCGCCGTCGCTTCTCTTTCTCTTTTTCTCGCCGTTCAGTCAGTGTTCACAGTTTTGACTTCTTTACAGCATGCTGAGTTTAGTTGATTTGTTATTGAATAGTGATTTTATTTTTTAATTTTTTTAATGTAATGATTATGTCAAATGTTAATTATCTATTATATTTTAATGCAGATTTTTAATTTAGTTTAGTAAGTATTAAAGTTCAATGTTATTTTTTTATGAACAAACCTTGAATTTTTTTGTTTCTATTATAAAAAATTTGGTCTTAGTACAAAGTACTGAATTTTGAAATTTAAGTTAAAAACAGATTGTATTTATGTAATAATAAAAAAGAACAAAGATGCTTTAATTTTTTTATAATAATTACAGTCTGTATTTTGCAGAACTTGTCTTTCTTTTTAATATATATGTGTTGTTATTGTGCTAAATGTCAATTTTTAGTTATGTGATAATAAATCTATTCTATGTGAAACGAGTTGATGTCGTTTTATTTTTTAATACATAGTATAGGGTATATGTATATATGCATCTCATATCAAACAAATAAATGCTGTTTTTTAATGTAAAAAAGTGCTGTCCGGCTTTTAGGATAAAATGTCCGGCTAAATTAACAACTGCGTTTGGCTTTTCTGATTTTTGATCTGGCAACCTGCGCGCGACTTGTATGTAATGAAGGATTATTTTCAAGTGCGATGTTTTTCACGTACGAAGAAAAAGAGTTACATTGAATAATCGATATAAGAAACTGTCGCGAAAAAAAACAAATTAACGCAAAATAAGCGATGTTAAATTATTATTTAAAATGCAATTTTTTATTGAAAAAGTTAAGAAAGACAATGATGTATTCATAATCGCGGATTTTATCGCGAATGTCACATTCTCTTTTGATTCAAAGACAAAATATCGGTGTTTATGCCGTAAAGAGAAGAACATGACACTTCTATCATTGATGCGTTATAAACGTTATCAAGTCAACAGAGACAATGGTTCTTGTTAGATACCGTTAAATGGAGAGCTACTTGAATCGTATTCGTGATATGATTCGTGATATGGAAGAACATATCTTTCAAAAAGAGAGAGATAGAGAAACAGAGAGAGAGAGAGGAAAGAGAAAGAGAATCATTAGAATCGCATTGTTTTAGCTAAGAAAGTTTTCTATTATCTTAATCTTCGAGCGTTTTAGTAATTTTAGAGAGATTTATAAGATAAATATTTAATATAATTTATCTGCATGTGCTCGATATTTTGTATACGTGTGTATGTACATTTTTCTTAACTTTATAATTAAATAGATTTAATTTAAATACATTTATTTTCTCTTTTTAAATACAGAACACATACATAGTTTTAGAAACTACAGATTAGCGAAAGTGACTTAAGTTTATAAAACTACAAATGCATTTTTTATGTACAAACTTCAAATAATATATAGGAAATTACTTTCTTTGTTGACAATTTTTTAAATGAATACACATCAAAGAAAGTGGCAGCTTGGCGTATAGAGTATAAAAAAAACTTGAAAACTTTAATATCTTAATAATAATAATTGAGAAGTTAAATATAGCACACATACCTAAAATTATTTAGGAAGAGACTTGAAATGTTTTTTGTTTTCAATAATACCGTGAAAAAAGTGACGTATAACGTGTTATAAAGCTTTTTATTATCTTTCTTAATAGAAAAAAATAATCTTTAATATTAATTATTTTCGACAAGAAAGAGAGCAAAGCGCAAAAATACTGCGGGGTTGATGAGAAAAGAAAAAAGAAATTCTGGCGGGTCAATCCGAAATAGTCAGACGGCTTTAGCAAGTCCAGGAGTAGACTGGGCTGCTCGATGGCTGTCCGATGGTTGAGCCAAATTGAAAATTTCACGCCTGATGGTATCTACCGCCCGTTCGTCTATCCGAAGAGGGTTTCATCGACAGATGCTGAGAATTTTGCATAACCCTTTACTCGTATACCCGCAGACTTGAAATATACGAGAGAAAATATTGCGGAAGCCGAACGTGTGCACCGTTCGCGGATTTATTATTGATATTTCCTTTTGAATCCAAAAAAATACGAACAGTATTTCCGCTCGGTCTGCCGCGATATGTGAAGAGTCCGCGAAAGAAATGGAATAAATCTTCGAATCGAAAACATATATAACAGTTTCTTATCGCGCGATGATGATCAGAAAGGGAAAGACTTTATTCAAGTTGCGACACTAAAATCTGTGCATGCCAAATTTTTCAACTTTTTAATTCATTTAAAAACATTTTTCAAGATCAAACTTATATTGAAATTATATTGAAATATTATTATATTGAAATTGATTCTAAAATTTAAGAAAACTATTTATTTAAAAGTGAAATCTTTTCAACAAAATTTTTTATTTGAGTTAAGAATAAACGAACAAACTTTTTCAAAAGATCCAATATAGCCAAAAAAATTATATCGACTTGTCACCCGATTTTGTTCGCAGGCGGAAGATTCGTGGTTACATCACAGGGTGATCTCCACATTAGAGCCGTCCGACCGGAAGACGGCAGAGCGATGTATTCGTGCCTGACTCTGCACGCTCTAACCAGCGAGAGGAGGCGAAGCGAACTCGCCACTTTAACCGTCACGGGTAAATGTAAAAATTCGATGAGTCTTTTCATGAGAAATAAATGTAAAATTTATATACATACTCGACACATTTTTCTGAGAATTTTCACTATAATATAATATAAAGCAGTTGGCAAAATATTATTGCCATTGTAATGTAAATCTGTATATACAGAATATTTGTTTTTTATATTTTGTAGAACCGAGTGGTTTATCGCCGCCGCGACTGATGCAACGGTCTGAGATAGCTATTTCCGCTGAGAGCGGCTCCGACATTCACCTAACATGCTCGGCGCAAGGAAACCCTCCTCCGCAATTTACCTGGTATCGCGATGTTAATGGTTGGTTTAATTAGGGGAATGTTTACCGAATAAGCTATGTTAACTGCAGCTTCGAACAAACTAGCGCGCGGAGCTATATTAAAACATCGATTCCTCGATACAGCGCGGATACCGTATTGCGTTTAAATTACGTTTAAACATACATCTCGTGTAGCGACGATGAATATCATATCGTGCGATAAAGAGAGAGAGAGAGAGAGAAAAGAAAAACGGAGTGTATCCTCCCTGACAAATACATCTTTTTGATATTAAACTAAGATGCTATTGGCAAAAAAATCGCTTCTTCCGTTTAAAGGGAATTAAAGCAAAAATCCTCGTCTTCGTCCTTCCGTATATATATCGGATTGATTTCAACATGAATCTAATCTATCCGTTAAATGCATCATCGAAGTAACTTCGTGCAGACCCGTTACAAGAGAACAGATACAGATCCGAATGTCTTGTCTGCGCAGGCCACTCAATACCGGTCGAGTCCTTCGGCCGCATCCAACTTTGGGGTGATTTGATGCAAATCCGTCGCGTAGACGCGCAGGACGCTGGAAAATACCTTTGCAGAGCCAGCAATCAACTCGGCGAGACACGAGTGCAGATGCACTTGTCGGTCACTTCAAAGCTAAATGCTCGAATCCAACCGCGCGTGCAGGTACGAATTTATTGATTTGAATTATTACGAGAACAAAATGTCTTTCTTTGTCTTGAGAGTTTAGCATAATCATATAACACTGTTCAACACATTTTTGGGACCTGAATAAAAAAAAAAGTGTTATCTAATGGAGTTCTGGTCACTGAAAACAAATTCGGCGGTGAAAATGGCCTAGTTTTTATTTGACAAAATTTTGTCTGAAACTTACTTTTTGAGTTATTAATAAAAATAGGTGACTTATCACGAGTCGGATACAAGAGGAAGGCAGAAGCAGCGCAACTCACCGTGAGTGACAGTGATTTATGTGATGCACGGATTAAGTGCATACAAATTACAAATGAATAAATAAATAAGTGAGAGAAAAAGAAAGAAAGAGACAGATACATAACAGTGTGTAGCGATCAGCTGATCGCGTCAGGCACCACACGTAATCGCCCGCGTCTGACGGTGAGTTGCGCCATTCTGCCTACCTCTTATATCCGACTCGTAGTAAGTCACCTATTTTTATTAATAACTCAAAAAGTAAGCTTCAGACAAAATTTTGTCAAATAAAAACTTGTTCTACAATTTAATTAAGAATATGTATTTTCAAGGATAAAAGGTTGAATCATCCTATATACAGTAGAACCTCGTTTATTCAAATCTCTTTTATCCGAACAACTTGAGATCCAAAATCTCTATTATACAAACTATCGATTATACCAATAAAGGTCAGGCTTCGATTATCTAAACTATCTTGTCCTCCGATCGGTTTGGATAAACGAGGTTCTACTGCATACATACGTACTCCTCTATACATACATACCCCTCATTTTTAGATATCTCTTCACACCGATGCTGAATGAGAACAAATAAAATACTAAAATAATATAAATAAAACATTAATGTAACATTAATGTAACATTAAATACAAAATGACACAATAACAATTATAACACAAAAAATCGAAAATTTGTAACGCGTTACTAAACAGAGTATACGGGAAAGAATCGAATATCTAAAAGGCGTGTACCTCACTTCTCTAACTATCTTTCTGCCACAGTAGAAACAAACTGATAAGGAATAGAAAATGTGAGACACTCTCGCTTTACTGATTGTGAATCACTGTGGAGTGGGACAAACTGGGACTACTCTTCCCACTCTCACTATATTGAGGTGGGATTCCTCTCTGAGTTTTACTTTTTGTTATAAAAACTCACTACGTGTCCAAAGAAGTTTTACTTCAAAAATAAACAAATAGCTGAAAATATTTATTTTATTGCGAATCAGAAGGAAAGGATAGATGATTAATTCAAGGATTTTGTGTGGATGCAAAATCCACGTAGTGGATGCGGCGATACACGGTAGATTCGATCACGGGATTTGGCGACTGTCGTCATTCGCAGGTCATTAATTCCGGCGAAACTGCTACGATGAACTGCACGGTCGAGGGATATCCGGTCGAGAGCGTTGAGTGGCTGCACGACGGTATACCAGTATTGACCGCCCAGGACACGAGGATCAGATTGTTGGCTCCCTTGGTGCTCGTGATAGGCTTCGTCGGTCGTAGAGACAAAGGGATGTATCAGTGTTTGGTGAGAAGTGACAAGGAGAACGCACAGGCTACCGCCGAACTGAAGCTCGGAGGTTAGTGAACGCATTATTCTAGTCTTTTTGTTTTCTATTATTTTTCGCGTAAATATATATAGTGTTCACTCCTACGCATTTTCATCAGTGTATCTTTTTTTCATTTTTTCTTTTGTGCGTATCTTTTGTTTTTTCTATATTATTTAGCAGCATTTTTGTCTTGTCGCTTTGCCTTTTGGCGCGCTGTTTTTTCACATTATTCAATTTTCTCTTCACATGTTATTACTTATACATTGTTGTCAAATCTATTTTATCTTATTAGACACAGAGACTATTAATTCTATGCACATATTTCGTATATGTAACCCGAATTATCGGTAATGTAAGTTACGTATAGCAAATTGTAAAAAAAGAATGTTAATAATACTTTTTAAGAGAAGAAAATAATTTATTATTTTCATTAAAACAAAATAAAGTACATCGATACATTTATACCATACCTTTTTATTTTGTATAATGCAATACAGAATACTCAAAAACACTCATAAATTATGACTCATAGGTTCTTTCTTTTGCATATTTTTTCAGCATACAATTTCTAGTTTTTCCGCAAAAAAGGATATATGTTAATATAAAATAAAGGCTCTATTTGCTTAACTTTTAATTGTCTAGATCAACTATTGCTTAAATTCCGATTGCTTATAGTGATTATCGTACAGATTTTGTAAGTAGATTGTAGATAAATTGGATTTATCTGAACCCCGAAAAGTCATATATTATTAATTATCATCATATATTATTAGTTTTGCAAACTTCGCAATAGTTATTAATTAATACACGTGATCTAATAAGCGTGTTTGAAGGTCTCTGCAGTAAGTGTATATGACTTTCAGTTGTGAAAATTAGCTAATCGCAAGCTGTGTTATATGTATGCTTGTTTGCTTTGCTCCTTACTGTTAGAAGATTGCATGAAGCAACCCCTTTTCTTTACAACTGAAAATCATACAAAGTCCGAATCCTTGCTTTCCACGCGATCACCTATATTATTAATTCATTACTCAACAAATATTGCGAATTTTGCAAAATGGCAAATCTCTTCTGTTTAGATTTACTCTACCTCCATTTTGACTGGTCAAAATTTTGCAGACATCTTGTATAAGACTTGATTTTATCCATCGCAGATTTAAAACTCTAACGGTATTATCTTCAATTTTATTGATAAGACAAGATAGAATACTTTTTTTATTCTATCTTGCACATCTCGGCTGCATTAATAAAAAAAACAATTATTAACACATTAATTATTATTTATATAAAATACCATTCTTTCTTTTCTTTTTTTTGTTTTTATTAAAAATTTCTCGTACTTTTTCCCCGAAATTATTTCTTCTTTAATAAAATGACATCTGTTAAGTTGGCATCTCTTTTTTTATATGTAGAAAATTCTTTACAGATATCTTGACCTTTGAGAAGGAGGTCAAGGTTATGTGAGACTCTCTCACACAGGGCATGTGAGGTATATTCACTAAAACCTCCATGGTATGCCAAATGTGTGTGATTTGAAGGGAGGATCCGGGAACTCTGAAGAGAACTCACCACTAGGGCCTCCTCGCACTATACTACGTGACTTCCGGAAGGGCTCGAAGGCCTCTCCGTTCATCACAGTATTTGGTACCGAGACAGGGCATACACTGCCTCTACTCGGAATCGCGTGCAAGGCGGACTAAAGCTTCCACTGCAGCCCGCCACAGTCCCAGAGGTGTCTGGCCTACAAAGAGTTAGCCACCTCTTTTAAATAAATTATAATAAAAATAGATCAGAATTATTATACCTAAAAATTCATTTTTCAAAATTTTTTAATTTCTTTTTGAGGTAATCAAACATTTTTGTTATATATCAAGAACTTTATATATATAGTCGCAAAACGAAGCTGCTATTTAGCTGCTCAGAGTTATTCCATCATTTTTTATTAGAAGTTAGTCTCTCATTTTTTTTCAACTCCCAAATTTAATAAATACTTATCAGAACTCTACTTTATAAACTACAGGAAATTTTTAGTCTCTTCAAAATAAAGCGGGAATTCTAATCAGAACTACAGAAATGTAATGTTGAGATGCCAACTTAATAAACGTAACAAAATAGCGCTATTGTATTCTCTCTCGTCTCATCTTTCCTCAAAACGCATTTTTGAAGGAAACGTCTTTTTAGATACGGTTCCGGAGCTGCAGTATACATTTATCGAGCAAGCACTACGAGCGGGTCAACCGGTCTCTTTGCGTTGCTCGGCCACGGGTTCGCCGACACCGTCCTTTACATGGTTGCTTGATGGTGAACCGTTAAGCCAGATTGCAACCGGACACAGGTAAATCGCATCTATATTTAGAGCATTGGGCGCCTTTTGCCGTCGCTTCTGTCTTCTAATTAAGATTTCGTGTGTGTCCGCGCAGATACGCGATAGGCCAATACGTGGATCAATCCGGTGACGTGATCAGTCACTTAAACATTTCATCGGCAGGTACTGAAGACGGAGGCTTGTACGCATGTGTGGCGTCCAACACACTGGCGACCGTTGAGCATAAAGCCAGATTGAATATTTACGGTATAGTAGTATAGTACGATATAGTACGCATTAATTAGATAATAAATGAATTAAATCTATAAGTGTAATCGCCTAGAGCAATGTCAAGTAGCAGGATAATTCATGGGACGAAAAAAGCGAGCAAATTATTTTTGCAAAAACGTTGACTTCTATATCGAATTTAAGAACAAAACGTAGATTGATCGCGAAACATTCACGAACTACTAAAAAAGATCAAAACTGTACATAATCTAACACTTATTATCATTGAAACTTATATCAATAAAACAAGAAAAAATTTTTAGAGGCGTCAGAATTGATTGCGGTCGTTCTAATAATAAGAAACTTAATTTTTTAGGACCGCCGTACATTCGATCGATCGGACCGATACGCGCCATCGCCGGTGTTGACATCACAATAGCCTGTCCTTATTCGGGATATCCGATCACGTCGGTCGAGTGGACTCGAGGTGGTGCCGAGTTGCCCTTTGACATTAGGCACCGGGTCGACAACGAGGGCCATTTTACAATCGCGACGGTGGATCCTAATGACGCCGGCACTTACACCTGTATAGTGCGAGCCAGCTCCGGCAAGACGGCCACTAGAGACATACGACTTACCGTCAATAGTAAGTGAAAAGTTGTCAGAGTGTTGACGGATGTATGTAAACTTCGAACTGGATTTGGAACAGCAACCCAATTTTTGAAATAAAAACAACCTGCTTGACTGTAGAAATATATGTTATTGAAAGAAAATTAAACTTTCTTGTATGTGATCATAAGAGTGAGTGAGAGAAAATGTCAAGATGTAAAGAGAGAGAGAGAGAAATAATACATAATGAAAATATGTTTCGCTTTGTACTTTGCAGGTCCTCCGGTAATGAGTCCTTTCAGCTTTCCTCCGAATTCACAAGAAGGCAGTCGTGCTCAAGTGACGTGTAGTGTAACATCAGGCGATCTTCCAATCTACATTTCCTGGCTGAAAGATGGCGAACCGCTGCCCTCTTCCCTTCGCGTAAGCGTTATTTCACACACCTTTCGAAGAGTTCGCCTTTATAATGCGAGGACCGTTCGATAATCTTTTTGCACGTATTCCGGTCGCACATAGAAGAGAGAAGAAAAATGTAAAACAAAGTGAACATTTTCATCTAAAACTATGCACATATTTTCTCTAACACAAACTATTTTGACAAATCTTTTCTCGTATATTTTTCCTTTCCTCGATGCTTTTTTGCACGAAAATGAAAACATTTCCTACAGTAAAAAGTCCTGCAAAAGATAAATATCCGTCATCCGTGCGAATAATGTTTTTGATGAAACACGTGAAACACAAAATTTAACGAGATCAAATTCGACCTATAATACGTACGAAAAATCAGAGCGCATAAAATCTTTCGTGTCTGTTTTAAAACTTTTTATATTTAAAAGACAGAAAAATATTACCCAATTGTATTACGTTTGGGATAATTTCTTTTCCTTGCTCCTGAATGTATTGACTTTTGCCCGTAGATCGAAGAACGAGGTGCCGAATTCTTCAGCCTGCTTGTTTTTAAAGAATTATCGTCGCGACACAGTGGCAAATACACTTGCGTGGCTACGAACAGTGCCGCAAAGGTCAATCACACGGCGGAACTCCTGGTGAAGGTGCCGCCACAGTGGATATTCGAACCGCAAGATGTGGCGACCCTGCTGGGTAACCCGTTGAACATCCACTGCGAAGCAAAAGGCTTTCCACCACCGCGTATCACGTGGTTACGCGCTCGCGGCAGAACATCCAACGATTATCAGCCGCTGGTCGATGATTCCGACGGCAGGCTCACGATACTGCCTAATGGCTCTATGTGGACGGCTTCCGCCGGTCCGCAAGACGAGGGTTATTATTTATGCCGGGCTAACAATGGCATCGGATCTGGATTGAGCAAAGTGATATATGTGTCGGTACACGGTAAGAATACGATTTGGTTCGACACCAAAGATTTGAGAAATATGAAAACAAAATATTAACATATTTATTTGATATAATGTAATCTCAATTTTATACATGTACACGTATATTTGTATTTATAATTTAAAAATACAATTAGTTATATTTCCATTTTTATTTAATTTATTTTCGAAATAAAGTTAATTTTTATATTATAAAATGTATAAAATTGAGATTATATTATATATTTGAATAAAAATTTTATTATTTTACTTTTATTGACATTAAAAACTGGTTTGTATATGTATATTTTTTATCATTAAGAGGATGCTGATTGTAAGCAATTACCGGACACCCTTTTTATGTATTATCTTAAGAATTAAAATTTGTGTTTTACAATGGCTGTCAAAAGACGATTGCGTATCTGCGCAGACAAAAAGAGAAATCTCCTATGTTTTGCCTCTTTGTTCGTTCTACTAAAGACATGTATGCTGAGTCTAGGTGTATATGTCTATGAGAAAAATACATACTCATACGTCTAAGCTCGTCTCTATTGTATCATCTACATTTGTCTCGGTTTGACTAGAGGACGCTATCTACTATCTCTGTAGTTAGAAAACAATTAAACTTTTGAACATGTGGCTCAACTAGCCTTATACCGTTATTAGCTGAACAATTTTTTATAACTAACAGCGTATAATCGTAAATAAAATAGCAACATAAACACATTAAAGTTAAAAAATACATTAATGACTTATGTTAAAAAAACTTTCCTGGTTTTTATTAATTACTATAATTATCACATAAACAAAAAGGAACAGAACATTTAATAATTTTATTTTTGGTGCAGAAAAATAAAAAAACACTCGTATTTGCCTGTTGAGACGCAACTGCGTAAGCAGCGCGATAGTCTCCGTGTCTCTTCTTACGCAAGCATCTACATCTTCATACACATTTCTGTTATTAAGATATATTTACAAGTCCCAATTTGTCTCTCTGCATATTTATTCCTGCTCTATCCTACTATATATCATTAAAAAGTTATTGTATTATTTGCATCTTGGCAGAACCGGCAAGATTCGAGTTCCAAAGTAAAAATGTGACTATTCGCCGCGGCGAATCCGTGACCATCGAGTGCGTTGTGATCGGCGACAATCCCATCGAGGTTCAGTGGACGCACAACAGCGATCGACTAGACTCGATAAGCACTCACAGACTGAGCATCGGTCAGATCAAGACCGACAACGGTCTGAAGTCTCAACTGTCTATTGCGAACAGCGATCGGCAAGATTCCGGAGTCTATCGTTGCACTGCCGACAACGCTTACGGGAGAAGCGAACATCTGATTTATCTGGCGGTTCAAGGTGAAACTGTATTTTTCTTTAAACCGATAATTCTCGATCTTACGAAAATATCTATACCACGTGTATTTTATCGATAATTACATATTGATCGCAACGTGTACAGCAAAGAAAGTTTTGCTTCATATTTTACAGAGAGGCCGGATCCACCAGCCGGGCTCGAGGTAATCGAGATCGGCTCGCGATCGGTACGGTTATTATGGAAGCGAGCTTTTGACGGGAACAGCCCTATAAGAGATTACGTGATACAATACCGCTCGCTGCCGAGTCACGATAAGACCGATGATTGGAATCCCGTTAAAACGCATAATGTCACGTACACGCCAGGAAGCTCTGGTGGCGGTAATTCTATACATCCAACACAAAATGGTTCGTTCTATATGTTTCCAAATTAATATCGTGCGTTATTTTTTTTTTTATTTCTCTTTATAGTAATTATCTCTCTCTTTCTTTCTCTCTCGCGATTCTGTAGGCTTGTCCTTTGAGACGACCAGCGACGATCAAGAAATGGCACTGGTCAGCGGTCTTCATCCCGCCGTTACGTACATATTCAGGATATTCGCTATTAATGGCATTGACGCGAGCGGGCCTACTGAACACGTGATAGCGAAGACTCAGGAGGAAGGTGAATAAATTGGCTTGTAACATAAAAATGAGATTAAAGTATCGCTTGAAAAGCCTTATTGTAGCATAACATTTATCTGTTCTTTTGTAATAGCGCCCACTGAACCGCCACAAAATATCAAAGTGCAATCTGCTGGACCCGGCGAACTTATGGTTAGCTGGCAGGTGAGAGAACGTTATTACTATATAACGAACGACTACTTGTAACATACCTTGTTTTTTTCTTGATATGTCCTAACTCATTTTATATCTTTTAAGATTTTTTGTTTAGAATATATTTGTAACTAACAAGTAATTAAAATTATAAATTGATTAATTTAGTAATTAACCAGTTAATAATGAAAAATAACTTGCAAATTTATTAATATCTATTAGCAGTTTAACTTAAAATTAATTTAGCAACGGCGATTAAAAATCATATTTGAAATAAGCAGCTGTATAATCGCATACATACACAAATGAGAAAAACATTTTTTAATTAGTTTTTTACGGACAACAAATACAAATCTTTTTCTAAATATAAAAAACTTAGAAAATCTAAGCAAAACAATTAGGGAAAATAATGGGTTTTTTTCAGCCGCCTCCGAAAGAATCGTGTAACGGGGACTTGCTAGGTTACATTGTGACGTGGTCGGAGCACTCATCGTCAACGTCGGGTGTCAATCAGAGCAAGAGCCTAACCGTGAACGGTTGGGCAACGACAAAGGTACAGCTCACTGGTCTTAGGAAGTTCACGAAATACGACGTCACAATTCGTGCGTTCAACAGCATAGCCAGTGGACCTGCTAGTGCCCCCATCGTGGGCACCACTCAAGAAGGAGGTATGACAATACAAAAACAAAATAAAAGGCGTAATAAGATATATCTAGAACGAGATTTGCTTTACAGTACCGGAAACGCCACCGACTCAATTGACATGCGTTCCGTTGTCCTCCCAAAGCGTCAAAGTATCCTGGAGTGCACCGCCACCTCATCAACACGGTGGCATCATTTTGGGGTACAAAGTTTACTACAGACCGGTTCCCACCGATAACAGTAAGTGATTTGTGTCAAAGTAGACAAAATTGTACGAAAAATTAACATTTGATAGAAGAAATCTAAATAAAAATAACTAATTATATTAGTTATTAATTAACAAATTAAATTAGCAAATTAAAGGAATAATCCCAATGAGTTAATCTCAATGAGAGATAATAATAACATGCTGTATTGTTATCATTTGCCTCTTTTTAATTTACTACCTAGTTATTTGGATATGATTTCCTGGCGGAGAGGAAAGAGGAGAAGCTACATCACAACTATACATTTTATCTTTTGATTTCATATAATTAAATAATATTATATAATAATAAGGTCAGAGTTTCTAATCACTGTTTTTTCTTGCAGTGGATATATCGACGGTCGGTGAAGTGAAAAAGACTACAAGTATGGATACTTACTTGCACACGTTGTACAAGTACACAAATTACTCGATCAAGGTGTTGGCTTACACGAGTGCGGGAGACGGAGCGTTGAGTCCGCCGATTTTCTGCATGACGGAAGAAGATGGTAAACTCAACTCTTTCTAATTATTTGTTATATAGTAATTCATACATAATTACACAATCGCAATATTATTTTGCAGTTCCAGGTCCGCCGGCTGGCATCAAAGCGCTGGCACTAACGGCGGAGAGTATATTGGTTTCTTGGTTGCCGCCGCTGCAACCGAACGGAAACGTTTCTAAATATACAATATACAGCAGAGAAGCTGGCTCTAACAATCACAACACTCACACGATGCACGATCCGCCGTCATCGCCGACAGATACCCTTACGATGGAATTGCGGGATCTAGCAGAAAGGTATGCTCAAAGATTATATAATACGTTGTTCAATAATAATGGCGATCTTTTTGGTGTTGCATTTTTTTCTTGTAAAACCGATGATTTCAGACAATTGTATGAATTCTGGGTGTCGGCAACGACTGGCCTCGGAGAAGGTGAACGAACTACCATAGTTACACAGACAACAAATACAAGAGGTGTGCATGGAAAATGAAATAGAATTTAACAACACGCAAATAGCAATTTAAACGCTCAATTAATTTGCATGATTATTTTGGATGGATTTGGATTGTATGGATTTGATTTTTTTGAATTTTTCCGAGCAATATTTAATAATATAGTTGTACAATTAAAATAAGAGAACATAGAACTTATTTTACAGCTCCTGCCAGAGTCGCATCGTTCTCGCAAGTACTGCGGAGAGCTGTAAAATCGTCAGTGATGCTATCGTGTTTGGTGGTCGGAAATCCGACGCCCCGACCCATCTGGACCTATAGAAACGGTCAGATCACCACAGGAAGACATTACGAGCTTACACTCGATGGACATTTAAATATACGCGGTAAAAAAAGCATTCCAAATTCATTCCTTAGTAAAATGAAGGCTAATTTTCTGTCAGCAAAAGATCTGCCCTTCAATTAGCCACGTTAAAACAATTTTTTGTAATAAGTAAAGCTTGAGAGGTGTGTGTGTAAAGAAGGAAATGAGGTCTTAATGACCTTATGTCCACTCTGCCGTAAAAAGCTATGAATTATACTGTTCAAATTATCAGGATTAGAACAATCGGTTGCGGGGAACTACACCTGTTCGGCGAGTAATTTATTCGGCGACGACTCCATCACTTATTCTCTGATTGTGGTAATGCCGCCTAAAGCGCCATCGTTGGAGCTTCAGTACACGACGACCAACAGTATCAGATTTCGCTGGAACCATCCGGATAACGGCGGTGCTACTATACAAGGTATATAACAAATAATAAAGATTACCACACATATACGAATGTCATAAAACAAAGATTCTTTTCAGGATATGTGTTAAGCTATAAGAAAGATGAAAGTGACTGGGAAGAAATTGCTCTGTCCCCTGAGCAGACGGAGTTTGTGCTCTCCGGACTGAAATGCGGTTCTTCCTACGTTGCGTACTTGACGGCGCACAATCGTGTTGATACCGGCGAACCGAGCCCTTCCATCAGTGCAACAACGAAAGGCACCGGTAATCTTATTTATTTTTTAATTAATTTTTTTTAGTAAATCATGAAGAGAGAAAAACGCTTAATGCGACTCTGATATTTTACAATGCTATGCGGGGGGAGTAAAGATTTTCAAAATTTAGAGCCCATAACTTGTTATACTATTTATACTATTTATAAATTAAATAAATGAATAAGGTAGCTAGAGATTATTAAATTTTACAATTAGTAATAAACTGAGAATCATCTCGGGTTCTAAGTCTTTAAACTAAATCAATGAATATAATTGGTCGTGTGAAGAGCCATTCGCTGGATGTTGTACGGAAAATATGTCTATACATATATACACATGTGTACACATATATAAACGAATTCACATTTTTATGTGAGTTTTTGAATTAAATTTTACTTTTTCTGTCTCTGTTCTAGCGCCTTTATTGCCTAAGGAGAGAGACATTATCTCGGCGAACGGCACGTCGGTGAAACTGAACCTATTATCATGGCCTAACGGAGGATGTCCGATTCAATATTACACTGTCGAGTATCGCAGGCGGATCAGCACGGAACCGTGGATCCTAGTGGCCAGCAGAGCAACCGGAAATCTTGTGATCCGCGATCTGAAGACCGCTTCGTGGTATAGTGTGCGTTTAACAGCGCACAATGATGCCGGCTCGACCCAGACTCAAATGGAGTTTGCCACCACCACGCTGAGCGGCGTCAGCATTGGTCCTCCCAACGATCTGATAATGGAGGACGATATCAAGAAAGCTGTGCCTAATCACAAAATTCTGTATGTCGTTGTGCCTCTCGTCTGCGCGATCATCCTGATCGTTTCTGCAATTATTCTAGGATATGTCATGCTCAAGCGCAGGTAAACCAATTATTTTTGAAGCTTCTTTATCTGATCCATTAAAAGTTTTTACTGTTTTAATATTGTTTTTTTTAGAGGAAACTATTTGAGCGAAATGCTACCGGGGCAGCAGCAACACCAGCAAGCGGGATTGGGGATAGTTCAGCAGCAACAGCAACAGCATCATCATCTGTCCAGCTGCATGTCGACTGTGCAACTCAAGTCAACAGCCGAACGTGATAACAGACGCAATCATCAGGTCTACACCAGCTCGCCTGTGAAGCAGGAAAATCACAAATCCAACGATCACGGATCAGGTATATTTGCGTTTTGATAAAATATTTTTTTTCACGAGTACAGTTTTACAGATATTTTGTTGTTTTTTGCACAGAAATGTATGAGATAAGTCCGTACGCCACGTTCAGCGTACCCGGAAGAGAAAACCGTTCAGTGACAACGGCAACGCTCGACTATACGATGCAATTCAAGACGTTCGGTCATCTGGAGAACGAGGACATCAACACTATCGATTACGAGAGGTCCAGCGTGGAGTTCGAAAGGTAATTATTGAAAGATAAGAGAAAGTTTTAAAGTTACCAACTTTTTCAGAGAATTTGTGAATTCAAATGTTTTTTATCAATATATTTTCTATCAATATATATATATATATAAAGTTAATGTACTAATTTTCTTCTTGTTTTACTTTTGCGTCTTTGTTTTTTTATTTTTCTCTTCCTCTTTCTGGTGTTCTTTCACACGCAGGTCAAAAACGCCAAGATGGCACAAGCAACGCTATTTCCCGAGCATCGCAGAGGCCGAGAGCAAGCTGCGATCGAGCCGACAGGGCTCCGGCAGCGACACGTCCGGGAGTCCTTGTGGCGAGTGCGCCGGACCTAGTTATAGAGTGCCAGTAAAGCCTTGTAGAGGTACAACTATATATTCTTATTTTTGCTTTTATTGAAAATATATACTCTGCATATATAATATATATTATTGTAAAAAAATATGTTACATACATGACAAATATATAAATATGTTAAACCAAGAAATATATAAGGCTTTACGAGCCGTTTCCAAGATGTTTAACGGTCGAATAACGTCCCAGAGAACTCTTTCACTAAAAAGACAAATTTTTCGAAATTCTAACTAATCCAGCCATCGAGCAAGACCAGAGCATTGAAGGTCCATTTGGACGATTCCTTGAAGAGTTATTTGACCGTCCCGGAACTTTTTGGACACTGTATATATATATATACACGTACAGTTTCCGCTCAACATCCTGGAAACGGCTCGTAAGGCCTTATATATTTCTTGGTTTAATTTCAACGAGCTTTAAATCATTATTAATTATATAAATCTATTATATATTTTCATAGAAAAAATTATACATATAGTGTGCAAATAAATCGTATACGGTTTTATTTTAGATGTATTTTCGCGAGGGGTGGAATCGAGTACAGAATCCAACAACGAAGGTTCGCCCTCACTCGCGAGACGACGAAGCCGACAGCCGAGCCGGTCTACTCGCAGGTAGCCAAGGTTTGTTTGTTTCCACATAGCACTCAGTCTTGATTATTTGATATATAGATTTGCATGTTTTACTTGAGAACAAAATTAACGCGAGAGAAAAAACGCGAAATATAATGTGAAATTATTAGAAATTTTTATGCAACGAACTTTTACTCGAAGAAGTTTTTAGTATCGGTAAAGACATCCCAAAAGGATAAAATTTTAGTTTATGTGTGTTTTATTCAAACTTTGTATCTTTTATGAACATAAACAATGAAGAGTATCAAGTTAAATTGCGATCTCTGATACAGAAAATATAATCCGACAATTTGCTAAAAAATATTCAATAAAGTTTTATGCAACTGTGGTAAGAAAATGTTCTTACACATTTGATTCCTAGATAACGTTATAGGTACATTAATAATAAAATTGTTGGAATTAAAATAAAATATAATTAATTTGCAATTAAGAAATTGCAATGGATTATAGTTACGAATGCAGATTAAATCAAAGTTATATATTTTATATATTTTATAATTCTCGGCAAAATATATCTTCTGATCTGTTGAATAGTTCGGTGGAAGATATGACGTTATTGCCGCCAAGCGGGTTCAGCGACAGCCGCGAATTAAGCGACGTAGAATGCGATCGTGACCGTGAACGCGAACGCGATCGTGAGTGGCAAGGTTTATCGGCCGGAACTCGCCATGGCGGCAGCCTGGGCCGACTTCCGATCGAAGCTGTTGAATCTATGCTTGCTAGGTACTGGCATATATTTATTAAAATTATATTTTAGTAGCAAATATTTCAAAATATTCCAATTTTTTAAATACATCATATATTAAAAACGTTTACTATTTTATCACTTACTTATTAATATATATTTACACAAAGAGAACACAGAGAGAATTATTTCGTTGGAATAAATTATTTCAAACATTTGTATTGTTTCCGTCAAATAATTTGATTTATTTTAACGTAACAATATAATTTTTATTCAACAAAATTGGGAATTAGGAGTCAGTTTGTCAGTTACATTCGAAGCGGAAGACTTCTATAATTACGGAGAAGTTTTGAATCGGAAATTGTGTTGTTGAATGGATTGGCTTAAAAGACACGATTGTTCTTTCGTCACAAAATTCAACTTCTGCCAGAAAAGTGAGAAAAAGTCATAGCTTCCGAGGCCAAATATTTTAATTGATGTATTCACACATTTTGTTATTGAAATAAATGCTCAAAAAACACAAAAAACAGCGGTTTTTAATGCAACCTTCTAATATAATATTATAAAAACATTTCATTTTATTGGCTTGTATATGTCTCTTTTATAACACCATGAATGTTAAACATTTCATTGTTTTTGCAATGTTGAACTATCTATAAAAAAAAAAAACACTGCGATAATATACAATTTTAAAATATATACACTTTTAAAGACGAGCAAGCGTCGTTTGTTGCAGATATCAGCAGAAAAAGGAACAAGAGAGGCAAGAATTCACTATACACGTATGATCGAGATTTGCTAGTTCGATTTGGTATCTTCGCCGGACGATTTAACGTTGCTGTATAAACCGAAGAAGACGACGGATCGTTCTTCCTTTGTAAAGAGAATAGTTCCGTTTTTGGCGAAACTTTTACAAGATCTTTTACGGAAAATGGTATAGTTTAATGACTTCCGTAGACAGAACACGTCAACAGAATATGACAAGAAATAATAGCAGTAACTAATAATTAGCATTTTGCTCTTAAAAGTAATATATTGATTGGCTATCGCGTTGCTTCTACCCGCGCGTAAAGCGTTGACGCGTCCTGTTTGCAGGTGCCATAATGTATGCAAAAAATTATTTATCGTTCAAAGACGAAAAGTGACAGAAAAGACTCTTCAGATCCGTTTGTTGAAGAGAATAGCGTAACTTACTGCGAATTTCAAAAATACTGCCGTTATTATATAAAAAAAAAAAAAAACCAAAACAAAAACAAACTTTTTGTACATTTTCTCTGTACACAACAAATATTTATAAAAAAAACTGAGATAATCATCAGCAATATACGATTAAGCGGTGGGAACATTTCGAACATAACATTAATCGAACGTATATATATATATGATCAATATATCTATTGCGCGTTTTTTGATAGCATTTACATTCTTTTTATCACACCGGATTACAATTTACATTAATCTTACTGTAAAACGACAAGAAGCAAAGTCTGATTGACCCATTTCGTTACTCTTGCGTCCAACTACAATATCGATGTTACAGGACGAAACAAAACACTACAACTTTCATTTTGATTATATCCGCTTCGGATATAATCGAAATGTAGTAGCGTGATCTGTGTATTCTCCGATGTCACTTTATTGTACAAAAACATAAGAACGATTGGAAATGAAGAGAGAAAAAAAGATATATTATAGTTTAAAAGATTTTAAAAGACGCGCGTGTCCTCGGCGTTACATCCCGTGTGAAACGATAAGTCAATTAATTAAAAGGGATGCGACGCTTGGCAGTGCAAATTAAAATTTTCAATCTCGAAAAACTTGTGGTTTTTTTATTCGATTTTAAAAGTGTGATAAAAGTTTACCTTTATTTGATTTTGAAAATGAACACAATCGACGAAGACAAACGGTTTTCCGAATAGAGTGCCAATTCTAGTTGCAAAAAAAGTATAGTGTTAAAAACTTCGTAAAGAAAAAGAAGACAAAAAGAAGATACTCTTAAATTCTATCTGAAACGTATTTGTGCGCTGTTAGAAAACTAGTATTTATACATTCACATTCGAAATGAGCGACTAGCGCCTTAATTATTCACATCTGAAATTGCTCCTCGAAAAACACGATATTTCGATGTTATCGTTGTGATTTTGCGAAATACGCGCTTGCGTATTATAGGGAATATTTATCACGTGCGCTGAGAAGATCATAGAATATATGTCCCGACAGGACTAAGAATCCTCTGATTGATTGAAAAAACCTATTACTACAATTGATGTATAACATTTTCCGTTTCATCGTTTATTTTTTCGATGATCTCTTTTGCATAACGTAAGACTGATTAATCAGGTGTGTTGATTTTTATAAAAGTACGCAATCGACTTCTCGACGGCCGACTTCGTTTCATGTTTGATTCATGAATCGGCTATGTCATGTTTTAACTTTCAATTAGTAACATTACAAAACAAAACTTTTTGCAGAAATTAGACCTTGCGCTAAGAAGATTGATACTGAGGTCTCTGCTTAGACACTTCGATCAAATAACACAATTTACGGTGATTCTAAAAATCTAAACTGGATGTTCTTTATTTTTTTTTTCTTACTAAAGAGAGGTAAAGACTTGCTTAGAATTATCTCGCGGCGAAATTTATTAAAGTGTGTTATCACTGTAGAGGTGAGTCTAATTGTCTCTCATAGAGATTTTAGTATACTTACAACGTGCGTCTTATTATTTTATAACAAATTATATATGTATATCGCGTAGATGCAATATATATAGATCTTCGAGATCGGCGCGCGCGCAACGATTGTGCGCTTGTTTGGAGAACGTGGAAATTATACACGCAACATGTATATTACAATTGTGAAATCGTTGTGAAACCTTGGGAAAATTGAACGAATCAAAGAAGAATTGAAAAAAGAAATAGTATAACCTTGAACTTTATCAATTCTCTGCACTTCGTCGATTTCTCATAGGACAAGTCTGTTTTATTAGCTAGAACACATACGAGATAAAGTAACGAGGAAAGAAAGAGCGTGTATGTGTGTTTCGTCTTGTCATGCTGCGTAAAACGAGAACTGATCATCTTGTTCAAACAATCAGAATAAGTGTAAAGTATATTACACCGCGATCATTCTCATCGTCTTTTTTTGAATGACAAAAAACGTGTATCATAAATCTAGCGATTCATCGTCGCAGATTCGTAAAATAAAGACTGGTCCGTTCAAGATAATTAGGACAAACGCGAAACACAAAGCAAAAACTATACAGGATGTCTCAAAAATTTTGACCAAGCCAAAATGTGAAGGTAGCTAGCGTCAATCTGAGCAAAAAAGTTATATAATATTTTGCAAAATTTGCAATAGTTATTGAATAGTTAATTACTAAATGTGACCTAATGAGCGCGCGGAAAGAGATGATCCGGACTCTGTAGACGTGTATGCTTATCAGCTGTAAAGAAAGATGGCTTACTTTATGCAATGTTCTTAGTAACAAGAGACGGAGTAAACAAGCAAGCGCGACGTGTGACAGCTTCTTGCGATTAGCTGATATTCGGCGGTACGGAAAAAGCAGTTGAGAAGATTACTTTCCGCGAAAAAATAAGAAAATAATAACGCTTTTATTTCCTTCTGTCACACACATGAAAAAGATAGTACTTTTAATTGGACGAGTAGATGTCTGTCTTATTTTTCTGTATCACACGCTTTTTCTGTATCGCTTGTCGCTGTTTTCTGCGTTACACCGCCGTGAGAATCACATGATCGCGAGCAAAAAGCCTTCTTATCCTATTGCTATTTTCTCTATACCGCTTAATAACAGCTGATCGCTGTCACATGCCACACGTCACACGTTGCGCTTGCTTGTTTACTCTGTCTCTCGTTGGGAATATTGAATGAAGTTAAACTATCTTTCTTTACAGCTGATAAGCGTATACGCCTACAACAGAGTCCAGACTATCTCTTCTCGCGAGCTCATTGAGTCACACTTATTAATTAACTATTCAATAACTATTGCAAATTTTGCAAAATGGTATATAACTTTTCTGTTCAGATTAACGCAATTTACATTCACACTTTGGCTTGATCAAAATTTTTAGGACATCCTGTATATATACAGGGTGTCCGACCTTGTGAAATTTCTCGTAGGCAAGTAGAAAGAATAAAACTGATAACGAGTCGAAAAGTCTTACACCATTTTGCGAGATTCACAATAATTCTCGAGATCTTAATTAACAAAGATGGCGCTCACGGTGTTAACTGTAGCAACGTATGGAAGGAGCTAATATAACAGCACATATTATAACATATACATAATAAAAAATAACCGCTCAAAGCGCGCCGAATTGTCTTACGCGCGTAAGACAGCCCGATGCACGCTTATTCGCGGATATTTGTTAATTAAAATCTCGGTAATTATTGCAAATCTTGCAAAATGGCATAAGACTCTTCGACTTAGAATTATTCCCTCTACCTGTCTACAAGAAATGTTACACTAATTGCTGGACATTCTGTATATACAACTGTATATATGTATAACGAAGTTTAACACCTCTGACAGCGGTAGAATATATGTTTTTCTGCAGTCGGTAAAATAGATGTTATGCTTCCTGCAGATAAGTAATATTCAGTCGGTAAAGTAGACATTGCTATATTACCGATGTATCGCTGAACACTTGCACGACATGGACTTAGAAATATATAGACGTATACTTGGTTCAACGAGAGAATAGGACACTCATGGACAAAAATGCGTCTGTTCTGCGTATCTCTCCTATCAGAAAGCCTCTCCACTCCACAGTGCTGTATCGCTCGTATAGCACTTCACACTTATATAAACGTTTTGATTTATATTTTGATTACATTTAATTACTTGATTACACATTTACATTTAATTATGTTAAAAAACTTGATAGTACATTAAAATGAAAAATTATTTAATCCACTGAAATCTAAATTCGGGCGTGAACATGCTGTATCTATGTTTACGGTACTGACAGTAGCGACGTGGGGCAATATCCCCACTTTGACCGCTTTTCCTTCCTTATGCGCGAGTAGTGTTCTATTCTTTCAATGAACCGAGTATAGGATGCGTTCGCCTTGGACACTTATGAGCTTGAAGCGTTAGGGCGATGTCCCATTGAGCGGAAATATATAGCGGAACGGAATGTGCGGAACCAGCTCGACCAATCATAGCCATTCCGTTTTCTTTCCTTCGCTTTTTCTGTGGTTACGATTGGTCGAGCCGGTTCCGCACATTCCGTTCCGCTATAGATTTCCGCTCAATGGGACATCGCCCTAAATATAGGACAAAGATTGTGACGCTCAAAGCGCGTCCAAAGCATCCAAAGCAAACGCATCTATAGCAGTACTTGTATAATGAAGATAAGAAAAAAAGTGATTAGAGATGTAGGAGGATCAAGACACTGACTTCGGTAAATCTTGATTACGTTTGTCGGCATTCGGCTTACATAATATATATTTTTGTATAGAGTTTTGTTCGTCACATTCTTCTATACTGCGTTCAATTTGAGAAGAGAAACCGGAAGACAAAAACTTGTTTGTTTTGCCCATCTCTACTAGAAAGTCTTTCCACTTTACATTGGCTCAGCAAGTGTCTCGCCAATTCTGCACGCAACGCTATTCTCACTTTGCCCGTTTTTCTTCTATTATGCGCAGTAAAATTCTCTTCTCAAATTAAAGGCAGTATATATATATATATATTTCTTTTCCTCAGAAAGGCTCCGTCATACATTCCTAAGTCTATATCACACAATGTTTATAGCTCAATGTCGACTGTCAAGGTGCTAAAAAGATGCCATTTTAATGAATTTCGAAATTTGTATAAATTGCGAGAAAAGTGCGCAATTTGTTGAGAAATATGTATACATCTATTGAAAAGAAGAAATAAAAAAGGAAAACACGACGTAAAGTTTCTCTCTTTTCTCTTTTTATTTGTTTTCTCAATATATTCATTATATTTTTTATAACTAATAAAAGAATTATTTATCATGTTTTTACCGCAGGACTCAATTATTAAAAAAAATCAAAATCTCTCTCGAGAAATAATATTACTATATTTAAATTTATTCAAATTACACTTACTTCTCATACGGCACAGAAAGATTGCAAAAAGATTGCAAACATATCTTATTGCAATATTGTACTATTGCAAAGTAATTGCGCAATGTAAATGCATATATGCAATATGAATGCAATATCAAAGCAACAACAACAAAAAAATCTTTAGCAAAATTGCGCTGCAATATCATATCCATATTGTAGCGCAATGTATTGTAGGCCTGTTCTACAATACAGTCGTAAGCTGTAAGTCGTAAGAAATTGACCAATCACAGTCAAATCACAGAAGAATAATCGATTGTGATTAGTCAATTTCTTGCTTCTGACTTTTGATTTATTAAGGGTCGTCTACAATGAAGAGTTGTAGGCCGTAATAGTAAGAAATTGACCAATCACAGACAAAGTACAGAAGAATAATCGATTGTGATTTGTCAATTTCTTACTGTTACGGCCTACAACTCTCCATTGTAGACGGCTCTTTAATATCTCATTGTAGAAGGCCCTTAATCCGTAATGTCACATAGGCTTTACGCACGTTCCACACCATCTGACCTCTCCCTAAGAACTCGAAAGTTTATAAAATGGATAAAGTTTTAAAGATAACTTGCACAAAATCTGTGTTTTATGGAATTTCAACATATAATAGGTACGTATATGTTCAGAAATAACATAAATATTTGATATTTTGTAAGCATTTCTGATTTTTTTAGGTTATCAAACAAACTGAATTCAAAACAATGTATATCTGCAATTAGTAAAATATTATCCACACAAGATTATTCAACGTGAGTTGAATATATTATTTATTATTTTCTTTGTAATAAATACTTTAAAAACATTAAATTCAATACTTATATAGAATCGCTATATGTATTTACTAAAAGTTTTACTAAATGTGTATTGTATATATATGAATGAAATATAAATATTCATGTGTACATGCACTTATGGTTCTGAAAACTATAAAATTAGTGATGTTATGCTCTTACTGTAATATATAATGAAAAATTTTATTTCAGGTCTTTTCTCAGTGGTGTTAAAAACTTATATGGCAATACAACTGTATTTTCTAAATATAAACCTAAATATAAACCTTATGTATTTAATCAACAGAAGTGTAATATGTTTATTCAAACGCAAGATACACCAAATCCAAACAGCTTAAAATTCATCCCAGGAATATCAGTATTAGGAGAAGGATGTACAAAAGATTTCCCAAATATCAAAGATGCATATTGTTCACCACTTGCCAAGATGTTATTTAGAATTGAAGGTGTAAAAGCAGTATTTTTTGGACCTGACTTTATTACAATTACAAAAGTTGATGAAGATGTTGAATGGAAAGTATTGAAACCAGAGATTTTTGCTACTATTATGGATTTCTTCGCAAGTGGATTGCCAGTCATAGACAAAACTTCTCAAACTTCATCTGCAGTAGATACACGTATTTACAATCAAATTTTATATATTTTATAGGAGTATACAGATATGTAGTACTATAAAAATTATATATGTAAATATATATAAGGAAAATTATATATAATAATATACAGTATCGAATATCACTTACTGTGGTTGTAGAAATTAATGATGACGATGAAGTTGTTCAGATGATAAAAGAATTACTGGACACACGGATACGCCCTACAGTTCAAGAGGATGGTGGTGATATTGTATTCATGGTATTTTTCCAAATTTTATATAATATATGGACTCTCAGTGACAATCCACAAATAATGAAGTATTGAGATATTTATGTAGTGTGCTTTTTTAGCTATCAAAAAAACGTTTTTAAATATAACGTTATTAATTATTGCGAATTTCGCAAAATAGCAAATAACTTTTCTATTCAGTTTTACTCAATCTATCTCTATACTTCATCTATGTCAAAAGTTTTCAAACACTGTATATACACGTACACGTTTACACTAATTATTCGTAAATGTAACAGGGGTTTGAAGAAGGTATCGTAAAATTAAAAATGCAAGGCTCTTGTACCAATTGCCCAAGTTCTGTAGTAACATTGAAGAATGGTGTACAAAATATGATGCAATTTTATATACCTGAAGTACTTGGTGTTATACAAGTAGAAGATGAAACAGATAAAATTAGTAATAAAGAATTTCAGAAACTTGAACAAAAACTCAACAAAGAAGAAAAACCGACCGACAAATAAGTGATATCAGGTAAGAATTCTCCTATACATATATATATATATATTATATACACACAATGATTTGTGTGTGCATATACACGTGTGTGTGCGCGCATGCGCGCGTTTAAAAGAAAATTCTGTACTTCTCAGCAAGATAACGATGTTGTATAATATTGAACATACTGTGTATAGTTGATGGAATATTATCTTGTTATAGATGACAGCATTATACAAAATAAGCAATACTTTTTCTTCTCTTCTCAATTTATATAATTTATGTAAATACATACAATCATACAAATATGTTACACTTTATTGTTTTTTTTTAAGAAACCTATTTAATATACCGTAATTCTTTTGATTGTCTGTCTTTTCCGATGTCTCTTTCCGTGCTTCACAAATATAATCTTTGATTATTTCCTATAGATAAGAATAAAAGATAGTCAGTCAGATAATTGCATAAGCAAACATTCATATAAATATACAATTCATCAATGTTTAATTTATAAGTATGCTTACTCGACGATTTAATTCTTTTATTATCTTTTTATTTTTTATTATCTTGGCAATACCATTTTTACCCTTAGCTTTTGTCTGTCGAGGTTTGAAGTCAATTGATTTTGGTTTAATATACTGAAAAATGAAAATATTTAATTGTGTGCTTTAAAATATCATAATTGACTGAGATACTTAATTAGTCGGTAGTTTGCTTTTTTTATTTACCAAAATGTTTTTCTTTGCTTCTACTTTGTTCTTCAAAGTATCTGTATCAACTTCAACAACATCAGTCGAATCGAGAGTAATAAATTCTGGTTGTATTTTCTCTAAAAGTGCCTTTACTTCTGCCTCTCTCCTCTGACTCTTAGTTTGGAAAGGATTAACTTCGAATGCATCATAATTTGCTTCTGCACTCCCTGGCACCAAAAGAGATGAAAATTCATTTGTTGTAGAAATTCCTAATATATCTTCGTACGGACAAAATTTTACACAACATATATTGCGAGCAATCTTGTGTCGCAAATATGGCGTAAAATCACCGGATGTTTCCCTGATAAAAAAAAAATGTATGAATAATAACGCTAACATATTCCTGTGTGTAAAAGTAATTAAATACAGTTATACACACGCGCGCGCGCGAATATATACCCTAATAGGCAAATTGTGAAAATACTGCACAAAAATGGCATCATGAATAACGACGATTTTGCAATGATTGCACTAAGATGATTCGCCATATCTTTATTCTTTTGCCGAAATAATATTTGGACAGTAATTTTGCAAACACCTACAAATATTTGATAAAAGATCTATGTTTGTACATCTCTTTCCTAAAATATATCTGTATAATTGCAAATTTTAATTTTAGTGCAAGATTTTGTCACATAATTTTGTAAATGTTTTCCTATCAGGGTATATATATATATATATTACATAGTAAATTTCTATACCTGTAAACTTCTACCACATTACCCATTGAAAGTGCAAGCAAACCACGTTGACTATAACACATATGATGAGCAGCAGAACGAAGATGCACATGACTTACTGGTCCTGTTAACTGTCTAATGTCAAATATCTTGACAGATTTATCTATACTACTAGTTGCCATGTAAGTTCCATATGGATGAACAGTACATGTCATGATTGGTTGGTGATGACAGAGTAATTTTGCTAATGGTTTAACAGAGTTTGGAGACCACATAGAGACTATTCCTTTTGAATCACCCACACATAATACCGCATTACTTGGATTCTGTGTCATCACCTATCGGAATGTAATAATGACTTGTATAAACATTGAATAAAATACTAACATGACTTTGTAAAAAAAGAAATTTTTATAAAATTTACAGATATTCGGCCTAGATGTGAATTGTAACGGGCGACGAGCTTGCCTATAGATACATCCAACCAAGCCATATTACCATCTTTAGACCCACTGGCTAATAAAAAGTGATATGGCAAAAATTCTAATTTCGTCACACCATTCATTCTTTTCAAACAGTGTAACTCTACTCCTTGATTGTCATATATATAAACCCAATCTTTCTGTGCTACTGCAAACATAGTTTCCAAATGCAACCATGTGACATCATGCACAGACTCCATTACATTCATTTCACAAGCTAGTTTTTTTGTCACCCAATCAAAAGCTGCCACATGACCTTGTTTTCCACCCAAAAGTAAATGTCTACCATTTCTGGTATATTTGAAGCAATATGGGCCAAACTGCAGATCTAATTTAAATTGTTTGGCTGCACTTGTTATATCTACATTATTCACAATTTGCTTTTGTTTATATTCAGTAGTGATTTCTCCAGGATCAGCTTCTAAATAGCCATTTTCTTCTGTCAATAATAATTCTGTTCTGGCGGAAGCTTCAATCGCCTTCTCTATAGCTTGTTCTTTGTGTTTTACTTTTGCTCTGAGCACTTTATTTTTTATTGCACTTGTTTTTTCTTTTAAGTCAATTCCAGGACCTTTAGAATATTTTTGTAATATTTGTTTATCAATTTGTACTTTTCCAGGATTTTTTTTATTTGCTACAAATAAAAATCATTACATTGTAGATTACAGATTATAATTTCTTTTATTTTACTAGTCTATTACACACATGCATACATTATAAAAAATAATTAAGACATTTAATCAACACAAATAATAATAATAAAACTAACTTTGTTTTGTTAGGGCCTGAGCACAATAGAGAAAATATTAGAAATGAGAATTAAAAACACAGGTTAAATGTAAACATGAGAAAAGAACAAACATAAAAAATAGTTTTAATCATCATACCTAATTGTTTCATTGTGATTTGAATTTAATAATCACACAGTTATGTAGTAATGTACACTCGTCAACTTCTTTTCTTCAATGTTTTAATGACTGGTGGTTTGGTTTGGTGCAACAGAGTTGCAAGATCGAGCAGAGAGCAACGTGAGCATCGAGCGGTGGGGAAACTTACACAAGCCAGAACCGCCGCTATGTGTACGACGTCACAACTTTTTTGTAGGGGAAGTGCGCGAAACGAACGCGTTTTTGTCCGTCGAAATTCTCTTCTCTATTTGAATCGAGTGTAGATACAGAATTGATTCCCAGATAACGCTACATAACTACAGATGTAACGGCTTTGTTTAGGAACCGGTTCTGTAACACTTCTGTTATTTTTTGTATTTTTTGTTACATTCAATTATTTTTTCAAATTTATACTAATGATTTTTAACAAATAATAACGGATTGAAATTAATCCATACTATAACTACTTATTGACTGTCAATCGCCTACTGCTATTTCTTATTTCTACTACTTTTCTTGTCCACCAATCATCGCGTCACTAAACAAGGATACAAAGTATCTATCCTTGTCTGAGGTTGGACCATTTCTTCTCCACAGAGAAGATAGAGAACGCGCAATCTATTTTTTATAGGTATGTCTATGGCCATAATAGCACTAAACCTAACTTAACTCGGTTCACTGAGCCATCTTTGCACCAAATCAAACCAAACCAATTAGTTGATAAAATAAAAATTTCTTGTACGTAAAAGTATTGTGATTGTACAGTAATTGAAAAAAAGGGATATTTTGCAAAATGGGACGCGTTCAGCGTAAAAGAGTGTATGAAAAAAACAAACTTAAGAAGATTAGACCGATAGAAAAAACACGTAAGCAATTACGCAAGGAAAAAAGGCAACAGAAGAAGATAAACAGAGCCGCGTATTATCAAAAACAACGCTCGAAAAACGGAGATGTTTTGTTTAATCAAAAAAAGAAAAAGGAGGAAACTTTTGATACTTCCAATCAAGTATTAAAAACTAATGATACAATGACGAAGAACTACAAAAAAGTCGATGTTGAACAAATGCAAATACAACAAAAACGTAAAAAGGAAGATAAAGCGGAAAAAAGAATGAAGAAACGGAAAACAAAACAATTGAAACTGGATAACCTGGAAGAAGATAAAATAATAAAGCACTTAGAGAAACAATTGAAGCTAAACAAACGCAAGAGCAAATCTATTTCGAAGTCTTTCGTGTCAGATGGTTTAGATTGTATCCTTTATTTGTGTAATTGTTACAGTAGTTTTATAAATATATTTGTATTTAATATTATACTTTCAAAAATAGAGTTGTTCGGAAGAGCGTTTTTTAATGAAATTAAAATCTTATTGTATCGACTCATTTAGCTTCTGTAAAAAAATGTTCATATATAATTAGGTTAGGTGGTTGATGTTTTTATTTGTACAATATTTTTTGTACGTACATGTGTCACATGTGATAATGCTATTGAAAAATGCTCAAAATTTTGGAACAACTCGACGTTTTATATTTTCTTAGCATTTGCTTAGATCTTTTAGATTTTTGTGATTCGGAGAATAGAAATTATTTAGCTGAAACTGAAAAACAGCTGTTGCAGACTGGCTTGAACGTAGAATTCAAGGAGGACTTGAACATGGTTATTAGTGATAACGAAGATGAAGATGAGAAACAGAATGAGGAAAAAAGTATGATAGATGATAGAAATAACAGCCAGAAAAACATGATTCAAAATAGAATAGATGATTCCAAACAGAATGAAGAAGATGAAAATATCTTATTTGATGAAAATTTAGATCAAGATGATGAGATTTTAGAAGAAGAAACAAGTGATTTAAATCTTAAATTAGATAATGAAGAAACAGAAAATAAAGAGGAAAGCCACAATGATATCTCAGAAAAATCAAACAATAATGATGGTTTATGGGAAGACATTTATGGCAGACAGAGAGACAAACAGGGCAATGTAGTATCAGACAGATATGTACCACCTGCTGCACGTGTTGTAAACACAGATGTTTCTTTAGATAATGAGAGAACTCATAGATTGCAGAGACAATTGAAGGGTATTTTAAACAAATTAGCAGAGCAAAATATGTACACCATTGCAAAGGAGGTAATTGATTGTCAACAAAAGATGCTACACTTAAATATAATAGCAATATAATTGAATTAAAAACTAATTATTATCTGTAAAAAAAGAATAAAAAACCTCTTATAGTAATGTTCTTTTAAGTTAAAACTTGTGAAAACTTTTATATGTTGTAGGTAGAAGAAATATATATGTCAAACAGTCGTAATGATGTAAATGTGTTGCTTTCTAAATTAATGATGGAAAGTATAATCACATCAATATCAACTCCAGACCGTCTCATCTGTGAGCACATGATGTTGATCACTATATTGCATGCCAATGTTGGTACAGAAGTTGGCGCACATTTTTTGCTCACTTTTGTGAAAAAGTTGGATCAATTAATGGAGGGGTCTCACTGTGTTGAGAACAAACAATTAGATAATATAATCCTTATGATTTCACATCTCTATAATTTTAAGGTAAAACATTGTCAGTAAATTTTTGTAATATATTTATGAATTTTTTTACATAATATTTATACTTTACTGTCTGTCGTTCCTATTTTATTAGATATACGGTCATCGCCTCTTATATCAGATATTGGAAAAACTAGCTGCAAAATTTACAGAAAAAGAAATCGAACTAATATTATTAATCTTGAAAACAGTAGGGTTTCAATTGAGAAAAGATGATCCAGTTGCGTTAAAGGAGTTTATAATAAATTTGCAACAAAAAGCAAATACTGCAACTCAGGAAAAGTAAGTTTTTCAATTTTCCAGTATTAAAAACAGATATGTATATTTTATTTTCAAAATTGTTATATCTTTCAAATTGTCCATGCATTATTTTATATTACTTTACCGGTATCATTTTAGTTCGAGAGTCAAATTTATGTTAAATGTATTGCTAGCAATAAAAAACAATAATGTGAGCAAAATACCTCATTATGATTCATCCTGGATAGAACATTTGAAGAAAATTCTAAAGAACTTTATTCATAAAGGCAACATCGTTACACAGTTCAATATAACTCTAGAAGATTTGCTAGAAGGTATATACAAAACATATCTATACCTTGATAAGAAAAAAATATACGTAACATACTATTGTTAGTAACAGATTACTGCTCACTTTCCTATTTTAGCCGACGAAAGAGGCAAATGGTGGGTAGTAGGTTCGGCTTGGTCCGGTCTCGGGAATAAATTAGAGAAAACTTCGAAAGTGACAAAACAAAAGTATAGCGAAGAAATAATGGAGCTGGCGCATAAACAGAGAATGAACACCGATATCAGAAGAGACATTTTTTGCGTGTTAATGACAGCGGAGGATTATTTAGACGCTTTCGAGAAAATACATCAGCTAGGCTTGAAAACTCAACAGCAAAGAGAAGTTGTTTATGTCATCCTGAGTTGTTGCATTCAGGAAAAAAAGTTCAATCTTTACTACGCTATTTTGGCACAGAAACTATGTGATTCTGACAGAAAGTATCAAGTACGTGCATGATATGACTGAAATTATTTTATTTTACAAAGAACACGTTTGCGTTAGTGGCTGTTAATAATCGTTTGTTATAGTTAAGTATACAATTCGCATTGTGGGATAAACTGAAGACACTGAATGATTTGAATACGGTGCAGCTAACAAACTTGATAAAGCTTCTTATTCACTTGTTTTTAAACAAAGGTCTTCCTCTTTCTGTTTTAAAAGTATGTAAATGTATATTGTCTCTTTGTTCATCTGTTTTTAAAACATCTCTTGTATATTTTTATAATTCTTTTGCAGATTATCCACTTCACTGAATTAGATAAGCTTACCATGAGACTCGTGCGACAAATTATGCTAGGAATACTTCTGCATAAAAATGAAGAGGCCTGTTTCGAAGTGTTTAGCAGAATATCGTTTTCTCCAAAGTTGCAGACTTTCAGAGAAAGTCTTCGATTGTTTATTAATCATTTCTTGATAAAAAACATCTCTACTGTCGAAAACTTGCAAGAACAAAGTAAACTATTAAAAACACGGGCAGAACATGTAGATAAAATCTTAAGCACTCGAGACTCGAAGTCTGTATTTTAAACAATATATTCTAAACAAAGATCCAGGTAAAATCCAAGTATGTTGATTGGTTATCAAATAGAGTTTTATAAAGAACTCTATTTGATAGCCAATCAATCAATAAAGAACTCTATTTGATAGCCAATCAATATATTTAAAATCTTTGTCGTACGACAAATGTAATACTAGCCTAAGACGAAAATTTTGTTCATTCCCTTTCGCTTCGCGGAAAGGAAAAAAAACTTCGATAACTCGAAACCTCTACAACTCGAAGATTTTTGCTGCGTTCCGAGTTACGCATATGTCTATACTATACGTCACGTGTACTATAGATAAATGCGCGCATATGCGTAACTCGGAACGCAGCCTTTAGCTCTTCCCTTGAGATTCGAGTTATCGAGGTTTGATTGTATTTGGTTTAAAATTTGAGGATCCCAAAACGGGCGATTTTTAAGATCACTCTTTCAGTCCGAGTTTCTGATTTTAAAGGTTTTTATATAGAGATATAAATGTGCGAGATTTGTAAAATATATTTTTATATTTTTTTCTAAAAGAGTACATTATAAAAATACGTGTAATATATATATTTATATCAACCTATACTTATCAATACTTGGGTACTTTTTAGCAAGACACCGTATAACACAGTGTCTACTAATGTGAGTGAGACACACCGATATACTCTTTCTACACTAATGGACATTGTGTTACACTGTGTTTTGCTGGAAAGCACTCTGTATCTTTCTTTATAATTATAAAATATAGACGAGCGTACAAAAAAAGAATTAATGTAGATCACAATGTATCAATAAGAGAATTGAAAGACGATTATCATCTGAATATCTGATAAATATGATAGAAAATGAGTTGTTTCGGATATTTTATGCTACGGGAATTTGGCTGATAATTATTGTCCAAACGTTCGCACACACAACTTGAACTTGTTCTCGTATTTCGAATTTAATGTGCCGGTGCAGGCGCCCGCACCGAGTCGATGAACACGCAGATAATCTTCGCAGTCTACCACCCCATTACCGGTGCAATCCTGTTTATTGCATGCAAAATATTTGTTGTATCAGTGAAGACCAAGTAAATATCGAATAATACAAATATCAGAACTGATTTTACCTGAGCATATTTAGCCATGTAGCCTTGTATAGCACGAGCGGCGCAGTAGGGATCGTTAACACATCGAGGGTAAGCTAACAACAAGAGAAAAACAATTACTTTGTCTATGCTTGTACGTTTCTCACAATGAACAAACTTGTATAGTATATAAATAGATGTCCAAGAGCGTTATATATACATATACACTGAAACTTCATTTATTTTCCCACTCATGAAACATGAGCACTTTATTTATTTTCCTTTCAGAGGGGATCCCACTACTGCTGCGGAGTAAAGGTGGTTTTCCATTACGATTGCAGTGTGATTGGCTGCTGCAAATCATGCCGTTTTCCGCGCCTCGTTTGCTCTGCTAAGTGCGAGAAGGGAGAATGAGAAAGAAGTAAGAGTGGGAGATAGAGAAGAAACTAAGTGGGAATATAACTGAGAGATTTTATGGGAAGATAATCGAGTGAGAAGATAAGTGAGAGGGAAAATAAATGAAGTTTCAGTGTAGTATCTTAACTGGTAAAAAATATTGAAACTTATCAACAGGTGAGTTGGTATAAACAGTTGCAAATAAAACAAAAATGTTATAATAAAACAAATCTTTTTTTATCTTGGACTATAGAGGTCAGATGAAAAAATGATTCAGATAAAAGTTGTTTGTTTTTTACATAGAATAAAATATCGTAAAGAAAAATAGAGGTTTCCATTTAAAAAAAAAACAAGTTGACTTTGAAATGACCTTGAAAACGTCCACTAACTCAAAAATCAGTGACGCTATTTTGTTCCCACCTCAAAACCAAGCAAGTTTAGTCTGAATTATTTTTTTGGAAAATGCATAGCTCTCGCGATATTCCGTTGTGCTAAGTTAAATGGTTCACACTGTATATATATCAGGAAGATATATCTCACCGTCACTGCTGGTGCTTGGCTCGCCGTTTAAGGTCGGCTTACCGGCGTCAGCCCAATAGCCCCACGTTATGGCGAACGGTCCGCATACCGACTCCGAACATCCGATAGTGGTGTTACATCCCGAGCTGACTTCACATATACAGCCTATGCAGGCTCGAGACACAGCTCCAGGCGGAACTTCTAACTGAGCTGAACAAAAGATAGTATATAAAACGGATATTAGTATATAAATTAATATATACGGGTATTAGTATATAAAAAAATTAATTTTGTAATTATTTGATGATTATATAAAAAGAAATAATCAATAATACTTTTAGAATGTTTTTGAGAAAATTTTAATAAAAAAAAAAAAACAATGAAGTTCGTCGGATTTCTGCGACATGGATTCTGCATTTTTTCACGGTTCGCGTTTACGTTGTATCTGCACCGGACGTGATTATGTTTCATAGTGTCATGTTTAAAAATATAACTTAAATCAGCCCGTGAATTCAAATCACGTTCAGACGCCCACCACGCGTGACAATCATAATGGAAACCTGTTCCTTCGATGTTTTCAGATCATATCTTGTTTATTCTGCGTGGGCCTTGTTACTACAATTATTTCGACAAAAAATTATTTAAATTTCTCGACCGTTTAGAATGCAGAGTCTTTTCAGAACTGTCGAATATATTATAATTATATCACGACGATCAAACTGACAAATTCAAATCTTGATTTTTGGTCAATCAGTTTTCACTTTCTAGATCAGATCGATCATCTTATTATTCTCATTATAGTCGCAGCAAAAAGTAAATTGTTTATTGGAGTCAAGGTCTTTTTGATCCGTGTCAATCGCGTGATAAATCCATCATTGATACTGTTATATTACAACGAATTCGGTAGCTTGCACTAGTGCAATACCAAATTCGCGCGCTGTTAGATTTTTCGTCTTCGTGTAATATCAATACACATGGTGTTCTCGGAGTTTCCAGAGATTGAAAAAATAATTTCGTATATAACACGTTCTACAACACATATTCACTTTAAATATATTTATTATTATGTGCTATATTTACAATTATGTGCTATTATTCAGATAAATTATTTTTATTATTATTTCATGTACTTTTTTATTACAGTGATAATTATAGAGGCGATTATAATTAAATGTAATTTATCGTTGAGTTTAACGAGGCTATCAAGGAAAATTATAGGAAAATTATAATACATTTGTGATAATTACATTCGACATTTTTCTCGTTATTCTTAAATTTTGTTTTTCATTGGAAACAATAGCCTACAACTTTTACATCATCAGAATCTTTTGAAGCTGCTAATTGACGTTTCCGCAATTGTTATCGGTAGTGCATCGTTAAAACAGAACTTGTGAAGAAATGCGATTAGAGCATCCTAATTAATCAATATATTTGCAATATTGATAATTAGACTTACAATGTAACAAATAATTTGCATTTATTTCAGGAAAAAATAACTAATCAAGTTTATACGCTAGTAGTCCGGAGTTATCTGAAACTTTTTATAATAAACGTAACGTAAAACATAAATATATAATATAACGTCATCAAAACGGACGTATGACAGTAGTATGATAAACGTAATATTTTGCGACAATAGCGTGAGAAGCTAATAATGAAAACAAAGTATAAAGTAGAAATATAAAGTTAAAGAAAGAAAGAAACTTTGAATTGAGTAATTTTTCATTTTCAACAAACAATATAATGTTATATAGAAATACTTGACTTTTTAAAAAAAATATTTCTATATAATAATAAAATAATAAATTTTATATAAAAACAATGAATTACATTGTTCTCTCATTAAAAAATGTGAATAACTCACCGTAAGAATAAACGCAGAATAGCGCGACTGTCGCCGCGACAGCCCACAAAAATCTCGCGAACATTTTGGGATGTTGCTGCTGATGATGATCCACAAAGAGCCAACGTTTATCACTGTGCTCGTTGGCTAACGCAAGATTCCGCGGTATCGAGTCGTCTACGGCGATTGCTTTCTTATATATGACGATCGCGCGATGGAAGAGGCAAGGACAGAGTTGCAAGAGGATACAAAAAGAGCGGGGAAAGAGCGTCTGGGAAACATTGCGACCGAAGGACGAGAATTTCATTATCGTTTATCGCATCAGAAAAGAAGAAGAAGAGCGGCACCGATTTCGAAAATAGAAACCGAAAAAACAAATAATTTTTTGTCTCTTTCAACTGTGGTCATCAAGAACTTCTCTCGTTTTAAGTTGATTAAAGCGATAAATTAAAGCACATCGCAGATAATTTTTATCTCGCAGAAATCTTGCCATTTCTTCTTTTATTTATTGATTTGAGAAAATGTTAAATTACAGACAATATACATATATCAGTAGTATTTTTATGATACACGTCCGCATGAATCACACAAATAGTCATAACTAGAGACTATACTGGAGAATTCTTTTTTCACTATTTTTATGATGCCTTGGCTGGAGTTTGTGAGAGATATTTCTTTTTTTATGTTATTTTAATATTTATCAACTGTACGTCTCTCTCTTTCTCTCTTATTTACATGTTTAGTCTTTAGATGTTAGTCATTTTATAACTATTTATAGAGCAGAAAGATCCGAGTAAAAATTATCTGTCCCCGATTTTTCAATCAATTTCTGCGTCACTCGCGTTTAGTTTTCATTTGTGAACGTCTTTTACGTATACAAATATTGATGCTTCCGCTCAAAAACTTGTGAACAGATAACAAGAAAAACGAGAAGAACGAGTTCTGAATCGTCCTTTCACCAACGATATATAAGTAAATCTGCGACGGGAAGAAGATAAAAAAGGAGAAAACATGCGTGTTGTCCTAATCGCGTTGTTTCTCGTAGCGGACGGGCCTTGGAAATAATTCTCGCATGCTTTTGCAAACCGTAACAGCCTTTTTTAATATAATACATATCGAACTCTGTCGTGTTCGATATTTATATACCTCAAAGAGAAATACGAGAACCGCAACTAACTGGATCTTTAAGTTCAATGTCAATGCCCGCGCGCACGCTTCTCGCGACCTCGAACTTCTACAATTGATACTTTTCCTTCGGAACGAGTTTGCAAGGAACGCAGACATGGCTGAGGACGAAAGCTTACATCCTCGTGCATGTCTGTACGTAATATTAATATCGGAATAATTGTATGTGGTTTGTTTTATTGTTTAAATAAAAATATGCTCATTGCGAGGAAAAAACTGAAGAAATTCTGTTTTCCTAGAAATAATGAACACAACTGATTGATGCATCTGTGACGTTCATTACGTGGATTAAAACTCGAGAATTCCATTACATCATCATACGAGCGATAATGCGGTAAAAATCCTTGTCGCGCAGCAACAAATTTCTTGTGACGTGATTTTCTTAGCTACACGCAGCTGATAACAAATATCACACCAAGTGATTTGCTATCTAAAGCTTAATATTGCACGAAATATTGCGCTTTTGAATTTAATTTTTTCGCGAACAGTAAAAGTCCATATGTTAACATTACAACAGTACCAGAAGCGAATGATTATTTCAATTACTCCGTATTACGAGTGCAATATTATTAACATCAATTATTAAAATACGTGTGAGGTATTAAAATAAATACACTCGCAAATGTGAAGCTACAGCAGCATTATATTACTCTCGAAGACCGCATTATAGAAAACTCTTTGGGTGTATTAAGAGAGTAACAAATTATATATACAAACAATTAATATTTATTAATCCAATATTAAAAGTAATGAGCTGTTTCTTTCCTTTAGATTTTGTTGAACGAAGCAATATCTACGGATTGAACTAGGTCTTCATTTTCTTGAATTTGTTCCATTAACAAATCCACCGACACTTTCTCGTCTTCTATCACGCACATTATTTGTAACTTGTTTATGCCATAGCCCACTGGGACAAGTTTTGCTGTAAAGAGAATTACGCGTATATTTTATGGTTTATGTTTGTAAACAATTTAACAATACATATATATATACACACACACATATATATATATAGATATATGTATGTGTGTCTCTGTTGAACAATGAAGGTGTAACTTACATGCACCCCAAACAAGACCGTCCATCTGGATCGATCTCACTGCTTTTTCCATCACTTCCATGTCTGTTTCATCCCCCCAACTCTTAACGTCAAGCACGATACTCGACTTGGCGATTACCGCAGGCTTCTTCGACTTCTTTTCCGCGTACGCTTTTAACCTTTCCTCTCTAATTTTTGCAGCTTCCACGTCCTCTTCATCGTCTGAGCCGAATAAGTCTAAATCATCATCGTCGTCGTTCGCCTTTGCCGTGTTGGCAATACAAAAAATAGCCGGGGCTTTCTTTTCACCAGGAAGTGACTTAAGATCGTAAGACTTTATGTGATTGTACCAGCGAAGAACATGAGGATTTGAAGATGTCGGTGTTTTTCCAAGAGCCTCAAGTACTGCAACATCAGCCTGAGTTGGTTGCCACCTATCAAGAGTATAAAGTCCTCTATATATTATTTTTTCTTTCAACATTAATTCTTTATAACTTGAGAGTATTGTATGATTATTACAAATTTATACACAACATTTATCAAGAGCAGAACGATCAATATTGTTCTTTTGGTATGAAAAACCATTTATAATAGTATTTATAAGTTTCCATATGTTTCAATGTTGTTGAATTATACATATTTGATACACATAAAATCTTTCGAATTGTATTCTTGTCACAAATAACTTTTTACATAAATAACGGATGGACAATAAATAAAAATTGTAGAAACTTAAACTGGTTAAAAAAAAAAAAAAAATTGTTTCTATAAAAACACTCATCGAAAAGATAATCAAAAATGCAAAAATAAATGTAAAGTGTGTGCGTGCATGTATATCTGTTCGGTGCCACATGTTCATACATGACACGGGGAAACATGACCACGCTTACGACATTAAAGGCTATAAATGAAATAGGGGAATGCGATATTTGTAGCATTCTTTATTTCATTTATAGCCTTTAATGTCTCGCAGCGAAGTGAATTGTCTCTTTTGCAAGAAATATATAAGAAACGTCATGATACATCAGAGATGAGAACAAAATCCATCGAATGCCGATACACGGAAGCACGTGTACCGGGAAGACAGTTTTGCGGAGAGCGAGAGAGAGAGAGCAAAGACGCTAAAAGTAAACTTACCCCTCAATATAACTGCGATCAGCTAAGTAGGTATTGAGGTCCTCGACACCCTTGTCTGTTTTGAGGTCACCTACGGCCATGGCAAAAGCGTGATCAAAATTAAGTAAATAAGTGACAGGAAGATGATCGGATCAGCGTAAAGGGATTCCCTTCGTCTTGTCGCCGAAAGAGAGAGCTACGTACGTCGCGTACTTGACCTACCTTCATGTGGTGCAATCTGAAGCCTATGTCACACTACGGATTTGGATTGAGATTGGATTGCAATTTGGCCAATCAGAGCGAAGATCACTAAACTTAAGATTGGTTTTCTTTCTTCTGATTGGTCAAATTTCAATCCAATCTCAATCCCAAACGGTAGTGTGACATAGGCTTGAAGGGAAAACAATCACTATAATAACGCGATTTTATACTCGGTTCAAATTGAGAAAAGAACCCTACTGCGTATAGGGAAAGAAAAATGAGCAAAGTAGGAATCAGGGTTGGGTTATTCGAGCATTTTCTAGAGTTTTTTACATTTTACTGTTTTTTACGGTAAAATGCGTATAAAATGTATAATATTTATCAAAGTATAATCAGAGAGAAACCTGAGAGCGGCCATCCTAATGTAAATTTTTACGACGGTTTCAGCCGCTGGTTTTAGCCGTATTTCCACAAAAGTGGAACTCAAAGGCCGTTCTACATTAAACGCAAGTAGCAGATCTCGTGGAATTGACCAATTG